AGCATATACTAAGTGGCAATTTTATCATAAATTTTTAGGTAGCATGTGTATAATAACTATGTCAGGCTTTCCTACAGGATTTTGTTTAGAATTTTGAAAAATTCCTTATTTTTGGTTGATGGATTTTCTGCATGGAGTTTAATTTATATGTCTTCACTGCCTACCAACCATTAAAGGCTGTACATAATTTTAAAATTATAGGAAGTAGAAGTGCACAAATAGATATGAGCATGAAAATGATGGGGTAAAAAAAGCCTGTCCACATTACTGAAATTAACCTGCTATGCAATGGGGCTGGACTTGATGATTTCTGGAGAGTGCATGCAGCCCCTACAGTTCTGTGATTCTGTGATTCTCCTTGTTCCTTTGTTCTAATGTTAATTTTGAAAATGATTCTTCCAAATTTTCACTGTTTTGAGAAAGAATCTTCTAAAACAGATGAAATTATAAGACATATGTTGTCATTTTGATTCATAATCTGTACAATTTCAGGGACATCTTTGATTGCACTCTTCTTAGCCTTCCCCTGCTCTCTAAAAGAGAGCTGGCTAAGACACGAGAAATGTATTGTGTTTGTAGTATGACTGACCATAGATCTACAGAACAGTTTCTGACCTATATTTAGTCATTCCTTAGACTTAAAACTATATTCCTTGATTATTGAGAAGGTAATTGCTTTTTTGAATTCTTCTTATTATGTATTTTTATTTTTTTATTATTTTTAATAAATTACACAATGGTAGTTCACAAATGAGTACAGGTAGGATTTACAGTTTCAATGGCATTAATTAATTTTACTTTATATACCATGTTGATAAAATAAATAGCTTGTAATAGCTGTACAAAACACATTCATTTTTATATTTCCATGTGCTATTCATTTCTGTGACTTCTATCAAATTACAACATGTATAGTTGGCTCGCTTTTTATTTTACTGTATTCTACTCTTGGTAATTTTTTTATATAAACTGGAAGGACTGTTGATGACTCAAGCTCTTTTTTTACACTATGTAAAATTGTCACTTAACTTTTAATTTCATCTGTGCAAAGTGTTATGGTTCTGAAGGGAAATTACTCAATCTTGTAATTGAATAGCTGCCCCCTAACTAATACACATGTTATGGTGTGGGCTCCAACTCTTGTCATACTGCTTTATTTCAAAGAGAAGCACAGAGTGTTGGAGTTATTTTGATCATTTTTGCACATTGTTCTTCTGCTCATGTCACTAATATCCATGAAATCCAACTAATGAACAGAACTAATGCAGGGAGAGCCTCTGATTTAATTATGGCAGATCCTTGCTAATTTCATGTATAATGAAGCAGGCTGTATCTGCAAATAAGAATCTTTTCCAGTAGTAGTATTCATCAAGGAGTAGATATGAAGGTGCACTTTAAGCTTGTCTTAGCAGACTTTTGCTTCAACATTAAATATTTTTGTTTGGTTGCTTGTCTTTGTCATTATTTATTGTGACTGCTGCTAAGTTGTTCTCATGGAAGTTTTACAGGAGCCTTGATTTCATGTGTTTTAAGGTTTTTTTAATGAATAATTGGCACCTCTGTTTGGCTGGCAGTGAACAATAGTCTATGAATACACTAAAAAGTATTAGCTAGAGAAGATCTATTCTTGCTTTTAAATTCAATGACTTTTCTTGTATGTGAACATACATGCTGAGAGTGGCCAATTTATGGCCAGGAAGATACTATGGCTTGTACAATTAACCTTTTTCTATATATAACATTTATTATTTTTCTCTATTAATTTGCAGATAAGCCTCTGAAGAAGCGAAAACAAGAAAACAAACCACAGGAGGCTGGGGGTGCTGCTGGAGGAAATAGGCCAGCTTCTCAGGAGACAGGTTCTGCAGGAAATGGGGCAAGGCCAGCGCTGATGGTTAGTATTGATCTTCAGCAAGCAGGAAGAGCAGACTCTCAGGCAACAATAACTCAGGAACTTGAGGCTATCAAAAAACCTGAAGAGATTAAGCAGTATAATGATGGATTTGTATGTATTCCCCAAGAAGAGACTGTTGGAGTTCTTAAACTTAAACCTGAAAACCACCCTGAGATTTTTAGGAAAAAGTCAGACTTTGAGGTTCAAAAGACAGATATCCAGCAAAATGAAAACAGACAAATGGAGTTTCAGCAAAATGAGAGCAGAAGGTTGGAAAGTAAATACAATGACAATAAACAGGTAGAAGCTAAGTATGAAACCAAGCATGATAGCAGACAAATGGAGGTGAAACAAAATGAGAATAGACAGGCAGAGTCAAAACAGAATGAGAGCAGACAAATGGAGATGAAGCAAAATGAGGGAAAACAAAATAATGGCAAACAAGAAATAAGACAGAGGCCTGAAACGCCAAAGCAGAAGAGCGAAGGCAGGCCTGAAACACCCAAGCAGAAGAGTGAAGGCAGGCCGGAAACACCAAAACATAGACATGATAACAGGAGGGACTCCAGTAAACCATTGACAGAAAAGAAAATAGAATTATCTAGACATAAACCTGATATGAAATCTGATACTTCAAAGGTAAAATCTGATAGTAGATCAGATCCAGTGAAGCAAAGGCCTGATGGGCGTTCAGTTTCTGATACTCAGAGGCGTGACCACGATAGCCTTAAACAGAGATCTGAGGACAGGGAATCAGAAAGATACAGAGGAGATCCATCAAAGATTAGACGGACTGAATTTTTGAGATCCTCAAACAGAAATGAACATGATTCTAAGTATGGTATTAAATCTGATGGATCAAAACCTGAAAAATTTGAAAGGAAACACAGACATGACTCTGGTGAATCAAGGGAAAGATTTTCTTCTGGGGATCAGAAGTCGGATCAGAAGTCAAGACCTGAGAGCCCTCGTGTAAAACAGGATGGCAAAGGAGATTCTAGCAAATCAAGACCTGATAAACCTGGTTTTAGATCATCCAACAGTAAGGATGAACGAAGGACAGACAGTAGTAAGAGTAAAGTTGAGAGTAATAAAGCACATCCTGACAATAAAGCAGAGTTTCCCAGTTATTTGCTGGGGGCAAGATCTGGTGCACTGAAACATTTTGTCATTCCAAAAATCAAGCGTGACAAAGATGGCAATGTCACTCAGGAGTCAAGGAAAACTGAATTTAAAGGTGAACAGAAGGACAAAGTAGAGAAGATTGGGCTAGTTGAAGACCTGAATAAAGGAGCTAAGCCTGTAGTTGTCCTTCAGAAGCTTTCTTTGGATGACGTACAGAAATTTATTAAGGATAGAGAAGATAAATCAAGGGGCTCTTGTTTTAAACCTAACAAGAACAAGTCGTCCAAATCTAATAAAGGTAAGATTATTTTTGTTAACTGCACTGTATTTTGTCCTCTCACTTTCTTTTAGATTTGCTGCTCCTGGGGTAGGAAAGTAAACCTAAAAGTTTGATTGTTCATATGCTTGCTTGCTTATACGGTGATATTAGAAATCAAAGTGAAACTCATCTAACGACTTGTTTCTGGATGTTTTGCCCCAGTGTAAGTGAAACGATTTATTCTGTTGCAAGTACCTAATGTAGGAAGTCTTAAGTGATTTCAATCTGTACTTCATCTGGGTATGTATGTAGTTAAACGTAACTGGTATATGTGTGACCAAAACTGGTTTAAGTGTGTCTGTATAAACCAGCGTCGCTGGGGCGGTAGAAGCTACTACTTAGACAAGCCCCAAGATTCTTCTGTATCTTTAATTACTAGACTGAAATGTGTTTTTTCCAGAGATGTTTTAACACAATGCGAGTAAGAACAGGGTTACAAAATGCCATCAGCATTTGCACCACAAATGCAACACTTCTGGGGAGCCTGCATACTTTAGGCTTTTTGACAATAAACTGTCTTAAAGGTTCTGTCTTTAGAGGAGCATAGATGTTTCTGTCTCTGGGGTCCAGCGTAAATGGCAAGAGGAAAGGAACCAGTAAACAACTGGTTGATATTTTTAAACTAACACAAAAAATATTTGTGTGATTTCCAGTGTCGCCACTCTAATTTAGAGAAAGGGTATTCACTGTGCTACTCAGGGCCATTTTTAGTTATAAACATTTTAATGCCACCAAAATGTGATTTTCATAAGCATCCTTTATTTGATTCATCCTACACTTCTTAGTAGATTGCGTAGCCCATCTTTTCTAATGTTGCCTTTAGCATCACTGATCCATTTCTTCTTCCATCCCTCTGATTTCATGTAGCTTAGAACATTTTGAATTCTCTGTTTTTACTTGCTCATATTTCTTGTCCTTTATTTTTTTCCATTGTCATCCATCCCTCCCCCAAGAAAATATCTTATTCTAGCCTTAATGGATCACTGCTGTTCAGTTTGAAATAGAGGGAGTTCACCTAGTTGAAAACACCATTTAGATGGTCATTCTGTCTCAGGAAATAATTCTGCCTCAGCTAGGCTAAATGTTTTGTCACAGAACATCTTTACAATCTATACAAATTTTAATAAATTTTAAATTTGAAAATCGTGCCGTTGTTGTGCCTGTGTATAAGCCTTCATTGTTGTGTGAAAAGATAAACATTTTCATTGTGTTTTGCTGACAAGCTTGTAAATCTGTAAGTTATTGAATGAAGGGAAGGAGTAGCTGTTATGCTTGAATCATCTTGAATCATCCTGATGGTCCTTTTTTGGCATTTGCAAGAAAGAAACAATGTTTTTTTCTCTTCTGATCTTTTAGCTTTCTTTTTTTTTTTGGAAAGCTGTAGTCTATTCTCAGGGGAAAGTTATGGAGCTGCTTTCAAAGAGTTGTTTGTTTGTTTGTTTGTATGCTTGTGAGGGGTCTTACCGTAACCTCTTTTCAGCAGGTCAGTATGAGCACTCTGGTTTTAACATTTGTGAATACCTTCCATTCTGTATTTAGTGAAATGTGTTGTGGGAGCACCTTAGAACTATTCCCCCAGCAGTTCAGTTGCTGTCACTGATACAGTGGACAGACATCCTGATGATTTTCAGCAGTTTTCACGTATTGTTTGTATTCTCTGCTCTTTGCCTAGATCTTTCATAAGGCTCATTGGAAGTCTTCCTTTCCACCAGAAAATACTTCTTGCTTCTCAGAGTGTCCTGTATTTTTATAAAATCATTCTTGAATATCTGCTGCTTTTCTGTGGGCAGTGATGACTTCCACAGCATTATAGAATTACTCACTGGCTTTGTCCAGATTCTTGTCTGTCCAGCCTTTATGGGTTCCTTTTCTCAAAGCCAGAGCTGAGTACTGGAGACTCGGTCTCTTTTTATAAGCCAAACTACTGGAACTTTCACCTTGTGCCAGTACTAGGACTGATGAAGAAAAATTATTTTGAAAGATGTGTTCAAGCAGATTGTTTGGAATGGTAAAGGACGTACTTTTCTCTCCCACTAAATCCATTGCTGTAGAGATTCATATGGGCACAGGACTAGGATCCCCAAGGATTTAGCATGCTGTGGAACACTTCTTTAGGTGTTCTTTAAAGAAAATGTTCTTAATGTTCTTTAAGGAAAATAACAGTTCAAAGCATATTTTTAATTTGTGCACTGATATTTGGAATTTTACAGCTTTAACAAGTAAGCTGTTCGTCACATACATACGGTTATTTAACCCTCTGCACTGTAGTTCCTGACTGCTGAAGTATAGTAGTACTGAAGTATTTTAAAAAGACATTTATTTTCCAAACATCTTTTTATAGCAGGGGTGGGTATTCACATCTCTTCTTTCTAATTTGGATGTCCCACTAGCAGCATCTCACCACCTGCTGGCAACCAGCCAATCGCTGAGCAGAAGCCTGCCACCAGCCAGCTTCCCACAGCTTTATGGGCTTTTGCATGATGTTACATGATGTGGAACTACCCCCTTGCTCAGTTCAGGGCCCCTGGCCTTCACTCCATCCCTGCTGATGCTCAGTAAAGGCTGCAGCTCTTCTCATCTGAATGGCCTAAGTCACATCTCTCGGTAGCATCCAAAACATCGGTGTGATATTAACACTGCCTCACAAACCAGGACAGTGTTTTCATTTGTAATGTCAAAAAGAAAGTGTATGACAAGTTGTCAGGACAAGTTTCTGAATGTGGAGAGTGACTAAATTTAAACTTTTGAACACTGAGAAATGCAAACTTAAGATAAATATCTCCACCATAAACAAGCAGTCCTTTACTGTCTTCCACCTTTCTGTGGTTTTACACTTTAATGTTAATGTTTGGAAAGATTACTTTTTAAAATACTGGGTACATTCTAAGATTGAAAATACAAAATTTGATTAATTTCATTAAATTTTCCTTCTTAAAAAATATATTAGCACATCAGACTTGGAAAGACATATATATATATATATGGGAAGCCAGCTTATGCTGAAGATTTCATTATTGTAAACCTTGTTTTCTATGAACCTTGTTTTCAAAATGAACCTTGGGGCAGTTTTTTCTCAAGCGCTTGTATTTGTACTCACAGGCTGTTTAGATATCATGAGAACTGAGTTGTAGAATCATGGAATAGTCCAAGTTGGAAGGGACTGACAAGGAGCATTGAACTCAACCACAAACTCACTCAAAATTTAAACCCTATGTCTGAGAGTTGTCCATAGACTTCTTGAGCTCCAGCAGCTCAGTGCCGTGCCTGCTGCCCTGGGCAGGCTGTTCCATGCCCACCGCTCTCTGGTGCAGAGCCTTTCTCCAACCCCCGGCCCTCCCCTGGCACAGCTCCATGCTGTTTCCTCAGGCCGTGTCGCTGTCACACAGAGCAGAGCTCAGCGCTGCCCTCCGCTCCCTGTGAGGAGCTGCGGCCGCCATTAGGCCTCCCCTCAGCTCCTCTGCTCTGGGCCCAATAAACTGGAAGTCCTCTTCCGCTCCTCATGCATCTTGCTCTCCAGATTCTTCAACATCATTGTAGCCCACCTTTCAACACACGCTAAGTTTTATGTCCTCCTTATACTTTAGCCAAATAAGAAAGTAATAATGCATTACAACTAATAGGGGAAGTTTCTGAGGTCTTCAGAATGTGATTGGAGATACTAGTTACCATTCAAGCAGGTTTGCATACTTTGGTATCATTATTGTCATTTTAAATAGTATCAAGAAAATAGGTTTACCTAAATTGTTTCTGGCAGAATATGGCTTGCTGTGGAACTCCATAGCAAAAACTTTTTTCTCTTTTTGCAGTTTTAGATCATTGTAAAGCAACTAAGAAGTATGACAAAATTTATAAATGGTCAAGCAGACAGTATCTCACCAGCCAGGCCTAGAAATCTACCCAATCTAAATCCTGTTACAATCTCATGCAAAACCACATCCAAGAATCACAATATGAGTAATGTATAGACATGTTCTAAGCCTACTAAATACACAGTTTATTTGTCAAATTTAGTTTAAAGTAGTCCATATTTTCAAAAGGCACTGCAGAGAACAACTGCAAGGACAAGATGATGAGCAGAGAGAGCTTGAATCACAAGCCTTATTATCTCATGAAATTAAGAAAAATAGAAACAATCTGTATCATTTAAGATATGAAATATACTAAATGAAAATTTTTGTGGTTTAACTCAGCAGGCAGCTAGGCACCACACACTCATTCAGTCAGTCCCTTCTCCCAGAGGAGTCACTGAATTCAACTCCTAGCTCCACATGACAACACCCAAAATCTGAACCCTATGTCTGAGAGCATTGTCCAAATGCCCATTGAACTCCAGCAGCTCATGGCTGTGCCCACTGTTCCATGTATGACCAGCCTCTGGTGAAGAACCTTTTCTTAACACCTAACATGACACTTTCCTGATCTAGCTCTGTGCTGTTTATCATGAAGCAACTCTGAGGACTGCTCTGAAAGTAATGCTGCCTATTTTTTAATATTAGCTCATGACATCTGAGTTGGTTATATGGCAGTAGAGGTTGAACCTTCCCACCAGTATCCTATTACATGCTGTTGTGTGTGACAGATGGCAGCAGAGGGGCGGCCTTGCAAAATGATGTCAGACATGGAAGTATGTAGGAAGCAAATGTATGTCAGTGAATTGCTCCATGCAGAAAAAATGACACCCGTTGAAACATTTATGAAGACGAGCCAGGGAATGGTGAGCACAGTGGGTGGTGTGTCTCAGCAGTGGCAACAGCAACAGTGGGTCACCTGTACTGGTACAGATTTATGAGCACAGTATGCAGGCTGTTGTTCATCACTGGTAAAAACACAGAGCTAATAGTGGTGTTCGTGTTGAAAAATAGTGTTGTAGCTGTGATTTTGCTCATTCAAGTACGGTTATTGTGTTCTTCATATCTGTTGCAGTTCCCATGAAGAAAAGGTTGAAGGTATTACTTTCAAAGGAACCTTACATGTATTTAAAGAAAGCTGTTGTTGATTGCTCCTATTGTATTAATTAAGTATTTGCAGACCTTTCAATTATATGTGGCAAAACCACACTTAGAAGAAATGTTTCCAAAATGTGGGAAGTAGATTCTGGATTTATTCATCGTTAGCTAAGACTCTCTGGTTTGTTTTTATCTGCATTATATTTTGTCAAGAATTGCTGGTGAGAGACAAATATCTTCACAGTCAGTAGATATTCAGTAACATCTGAAGGTTCTTGAATATCTTCTGTAAGAAACTTCTGGATTTCAGTGGACAAACAAAAACAGCAGTGCATTCTTCCTTCAGCAATCAATTAGTATGCAAGTCATGAACAGTAGTTGTATAGATTTGGACAAGCATTGAAGAAGAAATGGCTATTTATGTTTGCAGCTCTTTAGGATGAATTGTTTTTACAGCTGTTCTATGATTTACCCTTCAGTTTCACCAATGTGGAGTGAAGGAAAGATCTGGTTACGGTGGTACTTTCTGGTGGTTCTTGTTGTGTTGTTTTGTTTTGTCTTGTTTTAATGGCTGTAGCAGCTTTGAGAATATGTTTAAGTGGTGTCTGAAGAACACTCATGACTACAGTCTATTTCAAGTACAATATGTATATTGATTGGTTGATGACAGTCGTTGGGGAAACAAAGTTTTTCCTTTGGAGAGGAGAGTTTTTCAGAAAGCTCAGTTTCCTGGATCATTCTTTATTTTTGGATTAACTTTAGTACAGCTACTTTCTCCTTAGCTCTTGGCTGGAGTTGTACAGTACATAAAATCCCTGAATTTTTTCAAAGAGGAATGTGCAGTCCTTTTTCATGTATATCAGAATTGTTGATACATATGCAGCCATGCCCAATGGCATGAGTGAAACTTTTTAGATTTAGTTATTTGCAATCCTCAAGAGCTAAGAAAACTGCATGCAACAGTATTCAAAGAACAGTGTGGAACAGAACGTTTAAAGATGGTTTATAGAGACTTCTACAAGAATTCTATTTGTTCTCTTTTCTGTTATTCCCATCTTAAATAAAGAACACTTAATATATTCTCTTATAAACAAATAAAAGAAGTTTATCCTGTTTCCTAAAGCATCTGTAGCATCTGAATATTAAATAAATATTTGAATGCTTGCATTTTTGTTCTTTCATTGATATGTAATAAACATGATGACAACTGCCTTATTTTTAAAGATTGTTCCCAGCATAGTATTCTCAAAATCAGTCAGAAAAGCAAGAGTAGATATGCCTAGCAGATAGAAAAGAGTAGCATATGGGTTTGTGGGTTTTACTTATTGTTTTCGGATGTTTTTTTTTTTTTTTTTTTTTTTTTTTTTTTTTTTTTTTTTTTTTTTTTTTTTTTTTTTTTTTTTATCTTAAGGGTTTTCTTACTTAAAATGTATCACTTTTCATGTTACCAAGACATTTGTTGTGTACAGTGTAAGCAAAATGAAGAACAAAATCAGTTCTATCAGTTTCTCAAAACAGTAATCATAACCTTAATATTACATTATGAATTTTGAAACTGTGTATGTGTCTTTAGTCTGAGAACTTGTGCCAGAGAATATACAGTGTATTACTGATTTCTTTCTTCTCACAGCAGTCTAGTGATTATTCTGTTTTAAATATACTTTTCCTAGTAGGCTCAGAAAGGCTTAAATGTATATTTGTAGAAAATACTCCTGTTGATGTACGTGGATATAGCTTTTAAACATCTGTATGAATCTGTATGCAGCTTTTGTTCCTTTACTTTTGGCTGTTTTTTGTAAGGCATTTATTTGACCAAATGTTCTATAGTTTTTATGCTCTGTGAATACTTCTACTGATTTCAATATATTTACCCACAGTACATAAAATTGAGCGTATGTGTCAGGGAATCAGGATCTGAGACTCTTTAGTGAATAGTCTGTAGCTTTGGAAATTGTGTCAAAATACATACATGCAAATTTATTTTCTAGAGTTGGGTGGAAGTTGCCTCTCATTAAATGTTGTGTAGCTGTAGACAGTTTTGTATGACCTCCAGATTAGATCTGGCTGGCATCCATTCAACTGGTAGTACATGCAGATGAACTAATCTGTCTGAACCAAATTATGGTAAAGCACAATGAGTCATTCATTTACCTACACTTTCAAAAGAACTTGTTAAATTCAGAGGATAAATATAAAATAGACTGTTTTGTGGAAACGGAGCAGGAATATCAATTTACAAATGTAATTCACCAACTTGAATTTGTTTTTATTTTCATGTTTAACACAATGGAAATATTTATGCTATTTATTATGTTAATTTTCATTTGCAGTGTGAACAATGTGTAAAGTTCTAGAAAGGCCTGTCAAATACCTCCAGATATATCTAACTTCTAACTGTGGTATTGCTAGTGGATATTCTGTAAGTGGTTTCTGAAAAATAATTGTAGTGTTGGGCACTTTTTTAAAAATATTTTTTTCTTTTTTTCCTTTTTTTTTTAATCTTCGGGTTCAAATTGATTCTTCTTACTTTCATTAATAGGTAGCATAGATCAGTCAGTGTTAAAGGAGTTGCCTCCTGAGCTCCTGGCAGAAATTGAATCCACCATGCCTCTTTGTGAACGTGTGAAAATGAACAAGCGCAAACGTAGCACAGTTAATGAGAAACCAAAATATGCTGAAATCAGTTCTGATGAAGACAATGACAGTGAAGAAGCATTTGAATGTAAGTAGTACATAATTCTGTTCCTATGGCAAAACAAGACTAATACTTTGCTTTCTTAGAAAGATTTCTTTTTAAGTTGGCTAGTCTAAATGAAAACAAGCTTGCTATACAGACAACAGTTTGCCTGAAAATCTTGTTTTTTACTTTACGAAAGAGTAATTATTCCATTTGAATTTGTAACTCAAGATGAAAAGCAGCTAAATTTGTTTCTGTACTTACCTTATGGGAAGCCATGGGTGCAGTATGGTATCACCTCACATTCAATAGTTCTTTATTCATACTACCTGTGACGGGGCTGCTTACTGGCTATATATTGATATGGATAATGTTTTCTTTCCTATGCTTATCAAGAAACTGGAATTGTGGAATTAATTTGTCAGTTCTGTTCCAGTTCTGTGTAAATCCTTGGAGACATTCTTCTCAAAAGCAATTTAGTATACAGTCATACATTTTTAAATGTCAGGAGAGTTTGGCAGAAACATGTACAAATGTAAGGGCTGTTCAATACTGTTTCATGAGAACAGTAAACTCTGCTAGTCTAGAGTGTAATGTTTTGAAACCATTTTGATCCTCAGAGCATGGTCTATATCTTTTTGTTAGCCCAGTCACCTGTTACATTAGATAATGGAAAGTTTCATGGAGGAAACTATGGAATATCTTCCTATTACATCTTAGCACCTTTTCTTCTCAAAGTACAAGACTGCCTTCAAAAATAACAGAGAAGTCTCCATTCCCTTTCTCTGAAAATTGTATTTTCACCAAATCTTTGTTTCTGATAAAAACACTCATCCTGATTTCAATGTTTAGTTCTGCTGTGCTTTTTGGTCTTGACTGGAAAGTGGTTATAAAAGCCATAAGTGATAAATACTGACTGTTAAGTCCAGAACTGTTTCTCCTTTCCAGTGAATTATGTGCAATATATATCAAGACAACTTTTTGATTTCTTGGCAAAATAGACTGTAATTGGAATTTCCTCTATTAGATGGGCAAAAAGAACAATGAGTTGCTCTTTATAATAGCTAAAATTATGTAACTGAATAATTTTTTTAAGAAGAGAGAATGAAAGTTACTTTGTTTCATTCTCCTTTGTTTAAAAGGGCAGGTGTCCTTTACATTCATACTTTTAAGTATTTGCTGGTACCTTTGATGATTTCAGGCATGTTTTTCATGTAATTCAAAATGAATTGTTACGTTAGTGCCATAACAGAATTTTATATAATGGTTTGGAGTGTTCACTTGTTTTATGGAACAGTTACATGGTTATGTTTCATTTGTAAACCTATAGTTTTGAAATATTAAAACTGGATGTTTTATACTTAGAATGAAAATGCATTTCATTTCTAGCTTCTCGAAAAAGACATAAAAAAGATAGAGATGAAGCTTGGGAGTACGAAGAACATGACAGAAGAAGTTCTGGTGACCACAGGAGAAGTGGTCATTATCATGAAGGAAGAAGGACTTCTGGTAGTGGCCGTTACCGTAATCGCAGTCCTGATGACTCTGATATGGATGATTATTCTCCTCCTCCTAGCCTCAGTGAGGGTAACTCATCATTATAAAAAATTCATTTTCTTTCATAATACAAGTGCATTTTTAAAGGACAAGTTGAACATAATGAAATAAACATTTTTACATGTACTGTTTAATACAAACATAAGAAATATAACTATTCCTTTATTTCATTTTGACAAACTGTTAGCTTCATTCTTTGCTCTCTTATTAGTGGCAAGAAAAATGAAGAAAAAAGAAAAACAAAAGAAGAGGAGAGCTTACGAACCTAAGCTAACACCTGAAGGTAATTTTCAGATTTATTTTCTTCTGTTTTTATTTTCCGCATTGCATGTAAAATATTTATTTATTTATTTATTTATTTATTTATTTATTTCCCACCAGAAATGATGGATTCTTCAACCTTCAAAAGATTTATTGCTTCAATAGAGAACATTTTGGAAAATCTGGAAGACATGGACTTTACAACCTTGGGTAATATGTCAGAAATTTTCAAAATGCTTCCCTCCTAGTTAGAAACACACGAAATGACAAACAAATTGCATTTCTAGTATTTTCTGGCTTTCTTCTTTCTAATTTAATTTCCTCTGATATATGCTAGAATAAATAGTGTTCATGTGGCTTTCACCTTGAGTGGGTAGCTTTACCTTTCCAATTTCACTTGCCATTGGAGGGAGATCTTCCTTCCTTTCCCTGCAGAATCCTAAAGATTTATAAATCATAATGAGACAAATAATAGTCTATTGGAGTGTATCTGCTGGTTCATTATTCTTCTCAAGTGTGCAGAGTGCTTAACACTCTGCTTTTTACGATCACAGGATTAGAATGAGGAAAGAGATGCAGTAAACAAATCATTATAGTTTTTAAAGCAATTTTGTCTATACCCCTGGATTTAAAACTATTGTTCTTTCTATGCAAGTAGGTTGTTCCATAACTAATGCCTCCTCTTTATTTCCTTAGAAACAGTAACAGATAAAAAAGAGCTCAGGAGCACTATTTGATAGAGCAAATTCTCAAACATTACAAAACACTATTCATCTGCATAGTCACCACCATTAGCAATGCTATTTTGCCAACCGTGGACAAGAACCTGCATGCCACTTTCATAAATAACTTCTTGGCTGTACAGAACATGGCTTGTATTTCATGTTGCAGTCATCACTGCTGAAACACAGCACCCACTGCCTCGTTATACTCACATCCACTGATTGGTCTTCAAAAGTGTTGATGAATGTCAGTGTATGCCATTTTTTCTGTGTATCCTTAGGCATAGTATGCATTTTTCCACCTGTTCTGATTGAAATTTGAGTTTTAGAATTATAACTATGATCATTTGTTTTGACAAATGAGGATAGTACTGCAATAAATACATTGCTATATAAAAAAAAGTAGATGTCTCATGTTAGGCTGTTAAATGAAATTTCAGAGCATGTATTCAGACATATTGAGCAAGCTGTTGTTTTATAAAAACCAACTGTTGTCATCATTAATTGGAACTGTTAGATGCTACCTATTTGTGAAGCAGTTCTTTAACAGGTTTTCTTGCTTCTGCTTTTTCACACTACCAGTCAGTACTGTATTCTTTGAAGTGTTATTAAAAATATGACTGTTTACTTTTTTTTTTTTTTTTCCCAAGGTGATGATGATGAGATTCCACAGGAATTGCTTCTGGGAAAACATCAACTTAATGAGTTGGGTAGTGAATCTGCCAAAATAAAGGCAATGGGTATTATGGACAAGGTACATCTTCATAGTCTTTACCTCTTTCTGAACATTTAATTTCATCACACCTGCAAAAAATATGTTCACTGTAATGACATTTCAATCCCTTCAATTGTGCATGTGTCTTCCAGCAAACAGTAATGCTTACACTGAACTTAACTGAAGTACTTAAGTAGTTCCCGCATGTCAACTGCTAATTTCTTTGATGCTGAAATATTTTTGTGTCTGTGACAACTAAGCACCATGTACTAATATGTAACGTGCGCCTGAGCAGAAAATGTAAATTAATTTATTTTCACAAAAGCACATTGACCTATTGTCTGCTCCTTGCAGCTAGTTTTGAGCAAACACAGTGAAATAGAACATTCACTCTTTCTAATATAAGCTGTCAGTACGTTGTGAATATGCAGATGTCCATCATATTGAATTACCTACTTCTTCTCATGTCTCCAGAAAAGCCTCTCAAACTTAAAATATTTAATGTCTCTGGTGACAAGATTCAGTTTCCATGTTGGATTGTTTGCTATACCCTTCCTGTCTTCAAAAGAATGTTCTGTGATGGTGTGTTGGTATGGCACTTCTAGAAGCAATTTTCTCACTGTCCTTATGTAAAACTCTTGGTTTTGGGCAGTCTTATGTTATGCTCTTAGTCTGCATGCTCTTGATCACCTTCTGTGTTTATGATGTGTCTGTAAAGTGACAAGCGCAAGTCACTGAAAGGTCTTCCTTAAACCAAGACTCAGATGTACTTCTTTGCCTTTTCTTCAGTCCTCCATACCTTCATCTGTAGAATGCTTTCACTCTGAGCATTTTGTCTACCTCATAGTTCTCACCCTTAACCTCTGCTACATTTTTTTTTTTAATACACATGTGCATACATGTATGTGTAAAATCAGAATTCTGTTACTTCTGGAAAGGAGCACCAGTATTATCTGGATGAGTGAAAGAGATTTTTCTGGAGTTATTGTATTTTTATCTGTACATTCTACAGTTTATTTAATTCTGTAGGATATCAGTAAGAGAATTTGTGTTATGTTTTTCAGCATGCTAATTTTTCAAAGCTATTAAAATTAGTAAGAAATTTATTTCTGCTTTTCTGCAAGGTCTGGATTCTCTCCTAATAAATCTGTACTCGGTTAGCTAAAAAATGTTCATACTTGGAACTGTTGAAATTCATTTTCTAGAAACAAGATTGTAAAACTATACAATGTTTGTAGCAGGTATGCAGTTTTAAATCTGTTCATACAGATTTTCCTGGTTGAAAAAAACAAGTTAGACTGTAGTCTAAAAATATACCTCAATGCTTTAATTTTATTATCCAAATTCTCAGTTGTGCTCAAGTCAAAATTTAATCATTATTGTGATAGTGCTTGCAGTTTAAATTTCGTGCTAGTATTACATAGTAAGTTCTTCTGTGGACCTTTTCTCAGCAATTTGGTATGTTCCTACGGCTGCTTGATATGTTTGCTTTCTTGTTATAGCTCTCAACAGACAAAATAGTAAAGGTCCTGAATATTTTGGAGAAGAATATCCAAGATGGATCAAAGCTTTCTACGTTACTTAACCACGTGAGTTTCAAATTGCATCATTTCACACCACTCTTCAGAACCAGATTTTCTTCACTTGGGTTCCATTTATTTGATAACTTCAAATACCTGGGGTTTGTTTATGTGTGTGTTTGAATGCTTGAATGGGATTTTTGATTTTAGGTATTCGTGATTAACAGATTGTCAAATTTTATGATTTGAAGTAAAATTTAGTTGATGATATTCTTTCAATACTAGTAGTTTTACTGTGGTTCTATTAACAAACAGATGTGTTGAGAGCAATTGAGTTGTCTTTTGACTTAATTTTAAGTACTGAAGTTTCTGTCTGAAATGTTTCTGGTAATTAGTATAACTTGCACAAGTGGAAATTTCTTTGTTAGTGGTTCGTAAATCTTCCTTAACACAGTGGAGGAAAGTACAGCAATATTTAGAATGTATTTTCCCCCTAAGCATTAAAAACTAAGTACGTATTTTAAATCATAGAACCATAGAACATCTAGAGCTGGAAGGGCCCATCTATTTTAATTAAAAAAAAAATTAAAAAAAACTTCCTTCAAGCAGTACATGGCTTAAAACTATTCCATGTGAGAAGTTTAAAGGGATCTCCTCATTTGTGGTTCTTTTCTTTAAATACTTATAACATATACATAATGCAATACTTCAAGATTCTCTTACCTCAAAGGGAGAGAACTGATGCGATTAGAAACTGTTTCACCAATCCCTTATTTTTACAAGGAAAGCCAATGTTGAACTATGCTGTTATAGAGGCAGGGAAGATTCAGCTGTAGTTCATATGGCTGTGTATGTAGCAGACATACTATTAGAAATTCTCTCTGATTTTCCTATTGATAATGTGATAAACACTATTTCAGTAATGCTTGTAGTTTGTAACTACCCTGTTGTTCGTTTGGTCCTATAGTCTGTACAGAAACCAAAGTACAAGAATTCTGTACCCAGTGCTAAAACTAAATAGGTATGTTTGATGAGATGTATGTTAAACCCATTGATAAAAGATCTTGATAACCGTTGAGCCGATCTCTGAAGAAAGTCTCATTCTTAACAGTTTTCTGTGAATCAGTAGTCTTGCTGTGTGACAGTTCCCTCTAGTGGTAAAAAAACAGATTTGTCAGAGCAGGAAGCTCTGTGTGTAGTCTGTGAAGTAAAACTGAATGAATTGTTTTTGCTTTAAGGCACATCAGTCTTAAGCAGAGAATATAGCAGTATTCCTTCAAAGAACTTCCCTATGATATACAGGAAACTTCTTTGTATTTTACCAGAATAATATGGTGGGTTAATTGTAGAATTCTAACTTAGGAAGAAGTATGATTGAAAACATGTTGCTACTAAAACAAATTATAGTTGATTTATAAAACAATTTTTTTTTGTATCACAGAGGAATGTGCTTGTATGAAAGTATATTAAAATGGCAATTTTACCCTTACCAAGTACTGTATAGCAATTCAACTTTTTCTTCACACTGAACTGTTTTTCTTGTATACTGCAGAACAATGACACTGAAGATGAGGAGAGATTATGGAGAGATCTTATAATGGAGAGAGTAACAAAATCTGCAGATGCTTGTCTTACTGCTATCAATATTATGACATCACCAAATATGCCTAAAGCTGTTTATATTGAGGACGTAATAGAGAGAGTTATTCAGTACACAAAATTTCATTTGCAGAACACTCTCTATCCTCAGTATGACCCTGTGTATAGAGTGGATCCTCTTGGTGGTTAGTATGATAAAAGATTTTTAGAAACATTTTCATATTATTCTTGCTTTGCTTTTTTTTTTTTTTTTTTCCTATCTACTGTGTGATGATTACAATGATACAATTCCCTGAAGATTTTTATATGCAACTCCTCTATTGATAGTTCTTTCATGTGACATAGTTGTATTGGCACTCAAGTTTATTGTAATAACTATAGTGTTGGTATCACCCCTTAGACAAAAGTGTTGAGAAATTAGTCCAAAGTTTGTCTTTTGCAAATTGTTTCTGTGTGGATGAATAAGTCACTTTCTAGTCATAATCTTGATAGAATGATTTAATTTAATGAAAATTAAGTAATAAAAATTAAAACATTTTGTTGTCATATACATATTCTCAGATGTGGAGATCCAACATCAAGAACTGTTTTAAAAATCTTGGATCCATAATTCAGAACTATTATGAAAATTGAATGTCATTTGAAATTCCAACTGCTGCTGCTAAATATTCTTTTTCCTGCAAATAATTTCATTCACAAAGCTGTTTGGGCAACTTTGTTTCTTGAGGAAAAAGTCATCTTTATAATATTTGACACATCTAAAACACTGAAAAATTAATGAAAATATTTCTGATTTTTTTAGGTGGTCTTTTAAGTTCAAAAGCAAAACGTGCCAAGTGTTCCACCCACAAGCAAAGAGTTATAGTGATGTTGTATAACAAAGTTTGTGATATTGTCAGCAGTTTATCAGAGTTGCTAGAGATACAACTTCTTACTGATACAACCATTCTTCAGGTAAATTTTATCAGAAGAGTGTCTGTTGTGGGAGTTTTGTTGCTGTTGTTTTTTAGTTTAGTTTTTGTTGTTTTTTTTTTCTTAGAGATACTGAAGTATAGCTATGTAAGTGACATGAAATATGAAATAATGTTTTAATTAATTGATAATATTAAACTGAATGATCTTTTGTGTAGTATGATACCTTCTTGCTCTGTTCTGCAGAAAAAAAGAATATTTAATGTTCACATTTTTATTGGCTTTTATTGAAAAAAAAATTATATGAAAAGCTTAACATGACTGTGTTCTGTTTGCAATTATAAAGTAATATTTGTTGTTGAATCCCTTATCTGCTGAATGAATAAGTTGCTTGTAAAATTGCATGAAGATCAGTTTCCTAGCCAAATACACTTATAACAATTTATTTCCATTGATAGGTATCATCTATGGGGATAACACCTTTCTTTGTAGAAAATGTCAGTGAACTACAGCTATGTGCCATCAAATTAGTGACTGCAGTAAGTAATTTTTTATTTGCTGTTTCATGTCCCTGTACATCTAGCAGTTGTTAGGACATTTACATCATCTGTATTTTTGCTGGTTTAGAAGTAGAGCTTCAAACTGATTTTATTTTTTCAGTTTTAGCTGCTGAGCTGCTGTTATTTGCAGAGTAGCTACTTCTTTGTTAATTATGGTTATGTGATTAAAAGTGTAAACACAAACCCCAATGTCTTTCTTGTCCTCTCTTCCTAAGAAATTGTAGCAATAAGATATTTCTCATTTCCTTTGTTAAGAATTGAATTTGTGCAGTGAAATAAGCTAGATAACAGGATAGGTTTTTAATTCCATATTCCTTGGAAGAGATGGACGCATGAAAAATTCTTAGAACAAATAAAATATTATTTCAGGAAAAATGCAGTGCAACATATATATATTTGTTGAAGTAGGAGTATCCTATCTTTGTAAGGATCACATTCACCTGAATTTTTAAATAGAATTCTGAATGAATGAAAGGAGAGCAAACTCAGCAATCTTGACCATAAATAGAAAGAATATCTAATATTGGGCAAATATTAAAAACTAAGATACAAAGTAAAAGTGGTTTGTCAAATATGTTCTAAAATTGTGTATATGTTCATGTTAATATATGCAGCCGTGAGCTTCTGTTGGGATCTGAAAGCTTTTTATTACACTGTCTTAAAGCATATGGTACTTTTAAGAGCAGTTATTAGACATTCATGTCTTTGGATGATTTTAAAAATCTTTATTTGAAAAAGATTTATATTTTACAAAGACATGCTTGGTTTGAAATGATAAAGAAATGCCTTACAAACACGGTATGCATTCAAATTCATTTGAAGTGGACATTAGTATGTATTTTATGTAACAATAATATTCTAACAATGCTGTAACTGTCAAATAGGTCTTCTCCAGATATGAAAAACATAGACAACTAATACTAGAAGAAATTTTCACTTCCCTTGCAAGACTGCCAACTAGCAAGAGGAGTTTGAGAAACTTCAGGTAATTTCTGACATAGATGGAAACATTTACAGTTTTGTGCATGCATGATTTTATGCTTCAGAATTAACATTTCTTAAAAAATCTGCAACTTCACAAGCTACAGTTTCTTTGAAACTGATATTTCAAAATCGCTACAAAGAGAGCACAGTTTCCTGACTAATCTGTCATGTGATAGTCACTGTTTCTTGTGCCATTGTACTTACGCTTGGATACAGAAATAATTGAGATATTTGTTATTCTTCTCGCTAAAGATGTAAACAAGTGCAATATTGGTGTGTGTTCAAGGGGGATTTTGATTCAAAAATATTTGATTTTATTTATATGGAGGTATTTAATTTCTTAATTGCTAGAACTTAATAGGAAAATGTTGGGTGAACTTTTTCGAGGTCAAACTCAGAGCAGTCTTTCCAGACTGATACTGCTTTGAATGAATTTCATTTAGAAAATGAAATTCAGTTCACTTCAACTGGATCTTCTAAATAATACGTTCACGTTCAATCTGAACAGAATTTCAGTTTAAACTGATGGATACTTTAAATCATTTTAAAATATTTGCTGTTTGGATTGACATTCATCTTTCTTGTTTGCCTACCAGACCAATAATTAGAAAAATAACATATTACCTATCTATCTTACTTGCATACATCTTTCCTCTGGAGACAAGTTGTCCATGAAGTAGGTTGGCTGATCCAGGATAGATTAGCAGGAACAATCAGGAAAACCAAATGCAGTGAAACTTTGAGGTTCATTTGAGTAACTCTAATGTGAGTCAGTGCCTAGTATTTCATGTTGTGTTTGTTATAGTTATCAAAGATATCTATTAAATGCTCAGTAAGAATGGAACCATAACTGGTTGATAGCTTGTTCAACTGGGATCCTTGCCAGAAGGAAGTCATCATCTCCAGTGACTATGCTATCTGTAGAACTTTAGCAGTATCCATTAAAGAGCATTTCCGATCTGTGGTTAAAGTCATGAAGGGAACAGATTATGAAAAATTTCGTGTGAAAAGATCTTTTCTCTATATGTACTCAAAAATAACTTAATGAAGAATAACTGCAGTTTGTTTTGTGCTCAGTTATTATTTTGATAATTTGGAAAGAATGATGTCAGAGTATAACCATTTCATATTGCTTATGAGTGTTGATGTATGGGTAGATGAGCAGTATAACATTTGTCAGGTTAAATCACTTGTAAGGGGAGAAATGTGAGGTGGATTGTATTCATGTTGGTCATACAAACATAAAGACACTACTGAATTTTTAAGTCTATAGTTATGCTATCTGAGAGTAAGTACCATGGTTGTAACTCTTGTAGAAGTCAATCTTGTCCATAGTCAATATTTTCTCCTGCACATTCTACTTATATTAAATAATACAGAAGTAGTGAATTAGGGCTACAGTCTGATGTGTTGTTTTTTTTTTTAATACTTTATTGGAAATTGATATTCTTGTGTATTATACACAATAAACCTATTAGAAAGTAGAATCGTAGGTGTTTGATTTCATACATATTTCTGCAGATTTCTGGTTACTGAACTTCACGGATATTCTGATAGTCATTTGTGCTCGTCTCTCCACTTGAGAGTAGTGCTAGACCCAATCTTTCACTTCTTAAGAGACAAGCAAGTGACTAGTTAAATTTCTAGTATACAGATTTTGATTGGTAGTGAAAAATTTTAGAAATCTTAAAATTGTTTATGAACAAAAAATAATAGTTTTGTTTTGTTTTAGTGTTAATGCTTTGTTTTTCATATTAACAGGTTGAATAGCAGTGACACAGATGGAGAGCCTATGTATATTCAGATGGTAACAGCACTAGTTCTGCAACTTATTCAATGTGTTGTGCACTTACCATCAGCAGAAAAAGATTCTAATTCGGAAGAGGAATTGAACAAAAAAGTAAGAAAGTTATTTTCAACGAACTCTGTAATTTTATTTGGTGCAGGAATAATTATGTGCTTATGGATATTGTATTCTGTGATGATGGTCCAGTAACTAGGCAGTGTAATTTTGTCTGCAGTAATAATTTGGTAGATGAAAGATGCTCACCTGAGAATAATGTTAATGTTTCTGTCTATGCTAAAGTGCTAGATTAATAAGTTTCTTATTTTTAGGTGGATCAAGATGTGCTTATTACTAACTCATATGAAACAGCCATGAGAACAGCACAAAATTTCCTTTCTATTTTTCTTAAGAAGTAAGTACTGTTACATTCTTTAGTATATTGATGAAACCAACTCTGAATGAAATCTTGCACCTTGAGATAAACCTAATTACTTAGTAATGCTAAATTCCTACTAGTGAAGTTATTTACAACTTTATAAATCCTTAGAAATTTTCCTCTCTAGACAAAACTTCTTATAGCATAGAAACCCTGCAGAGAGTTCTTCATATGTTTAAGAATCTGTCAGATATTATGTAGGATCTCTATCAGCAGACTGTTACTCATCTGAAGCACGAAAGTGAATAAATACAAGTGGTGAAACCAGATGTAGAAAACCTAAAATCTTTTTTACTTACAGAATCTCAGAATTGTAAATTCTGGAGGAGATCATTGGAGATCATCCTGTCCAATCACCCTCCTTAAGGAATGTTCTCTAGAGTAGGTTGATAGGAAAGTGTCCAGGCAGGTTTTGAAAACCTCCAGAGAAGACTTTAAACTTCTCTGGGCAGCTTCTTCTTATTTATCCTTGACTTCTAAAATTAGTCTGTAATTGTGCTAATATTCCAGTGTTGTTTTTTTTTTTCCTTTTAGAAACATATTAAACTTCTTTTTCTAGTTAATGATAGGATTACTCATGTTTACATCAGGAGAAAAGCTAAAATGATTCTAAAATTTGCTTACATAATGCATTTTTTTAAAAAAAGATGTGGTAGTAAACAAGGAGAAGAAGATTACAGGCCTCTGTTTGAGAACTTCATTCAAGATCTTCTTTCCACTGTCAACAAACCGGAATGGCCAGCTGCAGAGTTGCTGCTTAGCTTACTAGGAAGGTTATTGGTAAGTTGCTTTTGACTATAATATGTAGATACAGGACTATTTACTTCAGCTCCAGTTATTTACAGGAATGCTTTCTGATAGTCAATGCATATGCAACATACAAGGATTTTCTTTTGTTGCTACAGATAATAAAATTTAGGTCAGAAAATCATTGATACACAACTTGGGGAAGTGTCATAGTCTTACTGTTGCTCATGGTATCATAGAATTACCAAGGCTGGAAAAGACCTCCAAGGTCATCCAGTCCAACTGTCTACCTATGACTGGTATTTCCCAGTAAACATACCCCTCAGTATATCTAAACATTTCTTGAACAACTCCAGGCACAGTGACTCCACCTGACCACTTTCTTGAAAAAGTAGCATTTCCTAATGTCCAAACTCAGCTGCCCCTGGCACAACTTGAGGTTGACCCCCACCCCTGAGCCTCCTCTTCTCCAGATTAAACAATCCCAGCTCCCTCAGCTGCACCTTGTAAGACTTGTGCTCCAGACCCTCACCAGCTTCACTGCCACTCTGTGAACTCATTCCAGTGCCTCAGTGTCTTTCTTGTAGTGAGGGGCCCAAAACTGAACACAGTGCTCAAAGTCCACTTCTACTACTCCATAACTTTTTACACATTAAAAAAGACATTCTATAACATCTACATGATAGTGCAGATATTCATTTTGAGTAAAATCAGACTTATGGCTGTAGATATTCACTTTAAACAACTTGATTTTTTGTTTAGCATAGATCATGAAAACTGTTAATTAAGTAGATAATTCTTATACCAATAATAGTACATTTGCTTGTGGAACATGAAATTTTAGAGAATGCGTATGTTTTTGCTATTGTGTTTCTACAAAGTTCTTCTTCAGTTTTGTGATATAATTAACATAGTAATTTCACTGAATAATTAGTGTTGAAGGATCTCTGGAAGTCATCAGCTACAATAACCCAGCTCAAGCAGAGGCATCCAGAATACTGTACTCAGTACTTTATTGAAGCGGCTTTCAAAGATTTCCAAGACAGGAGACTCTGGACAACCTGTGCCAGTGCTTCATTGTCCACATAGTACAGAAGCACTTCCTGGTGCTCCTGGTTGGTCAGAAGAAACGTTGTTTTCCGTTTGTGCCCTCTGCCTCTTGTCTTGGCACAAGACAGCATTGAAGGGAGTCTGATTCTGTGTTCTTTGCACCATCCCTTCATGTATTTATGGACATCAGTGTGATGCTCATGAACCTCCTCTTCTCTGCATTGAGTAGCCCCAGCTTTCTCTGCATTTCCTCATAGATGCTGCAGTTCCTTGATCATAGTAGCCCTCTGTTGGACTGAGAATGTCCATGTCTCTCTTGTACAAAGGGCTCAGGACTGGATACAGTATTCCAGGTGCAGCTTTACCAGTGCTGAATAGAGGGGAAGAATTACCCTCTCTTGACCTAGTGGTGATACTTTGCCTAATGCAGCTAGGAATACCCTGAGCCATCCTTAGGAACAAGGGAGCTGACTCCTGTTAAACTCAGTGTCCACCAGGGTTGCTAGTTCCTTTTTTTGCAGAGCTGTTTTCCATCTGGATATCCCCAGCATGTACTGGTGTCTGGGGTTGTTTCTTATCAGCTGCAGGACGTTGCGTTTCTCCTTATTGAAGTCCATGAGATTCTTGTCAGCTCACCTCTCTAGCCTATCCAGGTCCCTCTGAATGGCAGCAGGGCCCTCTGGTGAGTCAGCCATTCCACCCGGTTTCATGTCAGCTGCAGATGTACATGATTGAGTGCACTTTACACAGTTGTCCACATCATTAATGAAGGACATTTACAGGACTACAAACAGCTGGAGTACTCTGCTCATTACTAGCTTCCAACTTGACTTTTCACCACTGATCACTAGACTCTGGACCTAACCATTCAGCTAGTTTTTAATCCACCTCACTGTTCATCCAGCCCATACTTCAACAGCTTCTCTATGGGAATCTCATGGGGGACAGTGTAAAAGGGTTTACTTTGTCATTGTAAGTCCAGGCAGACAATATCTAGTGGTCCCCTATAATCCACTAGGCTGCTCATTTGTTTATAGAACTTTTTCAGGTCGATAGTGTTATTTCCTTTTGGTGAATCCATGCTGAGTACTTCTGATTATTTTTTTCTCCTTCACATGCCTGGAAACAGTTTCAGAAATTATCTGTTTCATCACTTCCTATGAATCCTAGTGAGGCTGACTGGCCGGTCATTTCCTGGATCATGTCTATTTACTCTGAGTGTGATGAGGCAACAGAACAGAGAGGCTGTGGGTGCCCCCATCCCTGGAGGTGATCAAGGCCAGGTTAGATGGGGCCCTGGACAACCTGATCTAGCACGTAGCAATCCTGCCACAGTAGAGGGTTTGGAACAAGGTATTGCCTTAGGTCACCTCCAACTCAAACCATTCTGTGATCTTTCCTGCCCTTTTTGAAGGTACAATTGACACTTAATTTCTTCCAGTCTTTGGGCACCTCTCCTAGTTGCCATGAGATTATTGAGAGTGCCCTTGTGATCCTATGTATCCTATCAAGGCTGATGGATTTGTCCAGTTTTCCCTCACATGATTGTCTACCGCCAAAAATACATCTTGCTTGAGCTTTTTCACCCTGGTCTCTGGGACCAGGGGATCCTGAAGTCCATTCTCACGTGTAAATATTGAGGCAAAGAAGGCACTGAATACTGCAGCTTTTTTGCAGTAAGCAGGTCTCCTGTTTCCTTCAGCAGAGGGCCCACAAAAAGGGTCTTCCTTTTGTCATTGAGTTACTTGTCGTTGATAGCCAGATTCAACTCTAATTCTATCTGTGGCTGTTCATTGTATCTGTACTCCTGCCATGTTACCTGTCTTTACTTCCACTCTACAAGTTTCAGTTTTGTGCTTGATTTTGGCCAGGAGCAATTTTTGTTCTTCCATGCAGGCCTCCTGGCATTCTTGCCTGACATTCTCTTTGTTTGGATGGATCACTTCTGAACTTGGAGAAGGTGATCCTGCTATGTTGTCCTGTTGGTTAACAGAGTGGCTGAAAATCCCCCATGAGGACAGCGCTTATGATCATGAAAAGGATGCTCCTTTGTGTTTGTTGAGGGCCTCATCCATGTGTTCTTCTTAGTCACGTGGCCTGTTGCAGAAGCCAACTGTAGTGTCACTTACTCTGTCTTCCCTTTAATCCTGACCTGTAAGGTCAGTAAGCTCCTTGTGCATCCACAGTCAGAGCTCCATGCACTCCAGCTGGTCATTGACAAAGCAAAACCTTTTTCTTCTCTTGTCTGCCTGTCCATCCTAAAGATCCCATGTCCTTCCATTGCTCCAGTCAGGGGAACCATCCTACCTTGTATCTCTGATGCCAGTGAGATCATAGCTCTGAAATGGTGCATGTCTCTAACTCCTTTATTCCCTTACATTAGTGTACAGAGATGTAAGAAGAGTTCCTCAGCATGTTATATTGTTAGAAAGTGTTTGGGAAATTTTTTTATAGTTGCCTTGTATGGCATTTCCTTGCTAGCCTGTGTATGTTGGAGGTGGCCCCACTTACTGCTCATTTGATTGATTTTTGTGATCCTTTCCTTTCACATCACTCCATATCTTTTGTTCAGTAATCCTGTCCATCATTCCTTCACAGTGCTGCTGGCTACCTTCTGCCAGATTTCTGTTGAACTCAGATAATCCTGAAGTTTCCCAAAGAAAAGCCAAAAACAGCTGTGTAACTAGTCACATCTGTTGACTGCTTCTGTCACCTGTGCTAGCAACTGATTTAACTGGTTTTTTTTGGAAAACATGTTATGGTCCCATTCCTAGTACAGTGTAACTTTCATTGTACTTGGTTGAATAATGAAGATGTGTTATGGTGGTTAAGACGCTATTGAAAATGATATCTGCTCTGTTGGACATCTAGTTTATTTTATGAAAGTATAATGTGTAAAAAATTGTAACAGTTATCATTTTTAGATAGAGACAATAAAGGGAAAAATTAATACAAAATGAGTTGTGTATTTGTGGTGTGATAGTAAATGACATAATTGAGTATGCAAGTTAGGTATAATTCTTAATGAGGTCACACAGAATACTGAGAAGAATTGCAGCTTCATAAATTATTATTAAATCCTCCTTTCTTAGGTTCACCAGTTCAGTAATAAATCAACAGAAATGGCTTTAAGAGTTGCATCACTTGACTATCTTGGAACTGTAGCTGCAAGACTGAGGAAAGATGCAGTCACTAGCAAAATGGATCAAGGATCTATAGCTAGAATCCTCAAACAGGTATGTGAGAAGTCCCATGCCAGCTGGACTGAGCTGGATTGCTATGTAGCTATTCAAATGTTTGAAATTCATGAAGATTTGTTTAACATAACAACAATAAACAGAAAACTGAAAAGAAAAAGTTCATCCAAAAAAATTGCATGTGGAGAGTCAGTTTTCATTATTGTTCAGGAATCTGAACAAAATGTGTTTGGTTTATAAGAATCACATTTTTTTAGTTCTTATGTCTTTCTTGCATCAGCTCCCTATTGATTAAGTTGTTATTTACAGTAGTAAAACACATTTTACTGTAACAATACAGAGGAAATAATGGAGCTACAGTAGCAGCTGAATTCTATCTTAAGAGGCATTAAAACTATCATAGAATGTCAGGAATTGGAAGGGACCTCAAAAAATCAGTCCAATCTCCCTGCTGGAGCAGGAACACCTAAATCAGGTCACACAGGAGTGTATCCAGGCAGGTTTTGAGTGTCTCCAGAGGAGACCCCACAACCTTCCTGGGCAGCCTGTTATGGTGTTCTGTTACCTTACTATGGAAGAAGTTTTTTCTCATATTGATGTGGAACCTCCTGTGTTCCAGCTTGCACCCACTGCCCCTTCTCCTATCATTGGATGTCACTGAGAAGAGTCTGGCTCCATCTTCCTGACACTCCTCTTTACATATTTATAAACATTAATGAGGTCACCCTTCAGTCTCTTCTTCTCCAGCTAGAGAGACCCAGCTCCCTCAGTCTTTCAAGATATTCCACAGTGACTGATGAATGCTTATGACTGTTTACTGTGGTTTGGACTCTTCAGTTATGTAATTAGATCTTTGGGAAAATCTATTCTCTTTTGATGTTTTTAAATAATAGATACTTTTCTTTGAAATGTATCATTTTGACAAGTTGATTTAGACACTTGTTGGTGCTTTTCATTAGCTTTTCTCCTTATGCATTGATCTTGTGAACTTGTAACTGTGCCTTTTCCCACTTGCTTGTGTTTGCAAGCTATATTATGTATTGCAGTTGTGACAAAATTCTCAGTCTCTGCTTTTCATGGTGAATTTAAGATGCTTTAAGTTGTGAGATTTATTGCTGAAGAAGAAAAATGTTTTCTAACTAAAGAAGTGTAAGAAATTATTCTATTTAGAGTTTTATCATCAATATTGAATATGATTTGTTGCAGGCATTTGGTGTTGTTTTTTATTATCTGTGTTTTCATATTTCTTTTTATTTGACTTTTTGCCCTTTATGCCTTGTTCACCTGAGGTGTCACTGTTCTGTTTCTGTGTTTTATTGTTGGTGATGACTTTTAAAGGTTAAAACTCATGTCAATGTACTCTGTATTATTTCGGTGTTTTTTTTTTTTCTCACTGAGATGGAATCTTAACATGCTATCACAAGATGAGAATTAATTGGATCAGTCAGTCTGTTTTAAAAACAGTCCTATGCTGTTTTTAATCCCTTTTAGACTTTGACTTCACAAAGTTTGATTTAGTTTGGATGCAGTTTACAGGTAATTCCTTAAAAAGCTGTTAATGTTTGGCAATAATCAAAACAATGAACCTCGTGTATTTTATTGATGGATGTGTAAATTGTCAGATAATTATTACCACTGAGTGATATTTTGTGTCATAGCTGACTTTCTCTTCTGACAGGCTTCAGGAGGAGAAGATGATATTCAACAGCTACAAAAGGCTTTATTGGATTATCTGGATGAGAACACTGAAACTGATGCATCATTAGTGGTAAATTTCAGTTTTCCAATGTTGAGTATATATAAAAATAATTTCAATAAAATATCTACTGAATGACTTATGGCTTTCAGTCATACATATTAGTGCTTCAGTTCAGTTGTTACCCTGACATCTATTGCTGATTGTCTTTTCTAAAATACAGTTGATGCAGTAGACTCACTCAGTGTTATTATGAATCTGTTAACTTTCTTCTTATATATCTGTTGTTTTTGTTTCTATGTGTTCTCTATCTATCCAGTTTTCTCGGAAGTTTTATATAGCTCAGTGGTTTCGGGATACAACTATGGAGACAGAGAAGGCAATTAAATCTCAGAAGGATGAGGATTCATCTGAAGGAACTCATCATGCAAAAGATGTTGAGACCACAGGACAAATCATGCACAGAGCAGAAAGTCGCAAGAAATTTCTTCGCAGCATCATTAAAACTGCTCCATCTCAGTTTAGTACATTAAAGTATGTTTCAGTACTACTTCTTCATTAACCTTTATGTGCATAAATCTTATGCATTTGATGTTCTAAATTATTTTTAATAAGCATGTCCTAATTATCACATTTAATTTGCTGCAGGATTTATTCTGATACCGTGGACTATGAGGATGCATGTTTGATTGTTCGCTACTTGGCCTCTATGAGGCCGTTTGCCCAGAGCTTCGATATTTATTTAACACAGGTAAACTGTGCCAGAAGTCTTACTACATTGAAACATAGCTTCCTTCTGATGCCAAACAATTTTAGAGTAGTGTGCAGTAATACCGCCTTGACCACATGCTTTTATATTCTGTACTGATGTTATATGTCATACTGAGCATATGTTATTTTGTGTATGAATACAACAAAGTCATTATATTAGATATGCACAGTGGAAGTGTAAAAGTTTCTGTCAGACGTATGTTCATTTGGTAACGCGGACTCATGAAATGTATCTTAATATGATTTGAAAATATAAGCCAATTTGATCATTTATTTGCACATGGGCATGTTATTATTACTTTGAAAATTGTTTGACCAGTGTGATTTCTTTCCTTTTTCTGAGAGAAGAGAAATAACATGTTGTCATGGAGACATATTTGAACTTAAGAAATGGTTTAGGTTGCACTAATTTACGTTGATTTGCATATGGAGACAACTGTAGTTACAGTGTCCAAATCTAGTTTTCCCATTTTTAAAGAAAATGGTGAAAGCTGCTTATTAATGGCAAAAGTAGAGTTTAAAGAAAAGGGATGTAGAATAAACATAACTGCCCTTCTGTAAGTCCTGTTTGGACTAGCCTTAGCAGATCCTAGCAAAAATCCATGCCTTCATTTACATGCGCCTTTGAGAAGATATATTCAATTTTTGGTAGACAGATATTCTCATTTTAATTAAATAGTTTGCATGTTACTCTTTTTCATTTTTGCTTGTGTTAAGCATTGTTTACTACCTTCCTAAAGCAACTTAAACTGTTTTTGTTCTCTTGTTAGATTCTGCGTGTACTTGGTGAAAATGCAATTGCTGTTCGAACAAAAGCCATGAAGTGTTTGTCTGAGGTTGTTGCTGTAGATCCCAGTATTCTAGCCAGGGTAAAAATGAAATATCCATTATGCATATGCATGAAATCTGTCATGCTTAAAAGAAATCCTTATTTCTTATTTTGTATTTGTTTTATCTGTTGTTCTTAGCCGGATATGCAGCGGGGTGTTCATGGACGGTTAATGGATAACTCCACTAGTGTGCGGGAAGCAGCTGTGGAGCTGCTTGGCCGATTTGTGCTCTGTCGTCCTCAGCTTGCTGAGCAGTATTATGACATGCTGATTGAAAGAATATTGGTATGGTGACTTTTGATATTCATGATGAAATGCCATTCGGAAACTTGTTTTCAGCAGAGTTCGTATGTTTAATAATTTAGAATTATGATCCCCAAAAGTAAATTATAATTTATTGTTTTAAATGAGTAGCATCATCCTGGTACTTCCAACCTTGTGAAATGCGTTCTTGTTTCTGGTGAGGCCTTTTTACGTCAGAAAATGTAATATGTGCAGAAGGCTGTATTGCAGCAGAACCAGTCTTTATGTTCCTTTTGATTCCACTGATGAGGAACAAGCTAGGTTTAATGAGGAATTATTCCATATCTCTGAAGTCTGAGATGTGGATCACTGCAAGTCATTTGGGGGATAGTGAAAAAAAGATCTACAACACAGTAATCTAAACCTGACATTTGTAATTAAATTAAAAAAAAAAAAAAAAAAAAAGGAAGAAAAACTGCCTTACCTTTCTGTAGTATGTTTTTTGAAAGGCGTTATTTTAGAGTTTTTATACAAACTGCTTTCTTTTGTCTAGATGTTCAAATAAGATAAAATGTTGATGTAACTGTGAGATAACATTAGCTTTTAGTATCCATGTCAGGCAAGTTTTTAGTCAAGTACAATTCATTTGCTGTAGTTATGGCATGAAATGTTTGTGAGAGACTTTATGCTTATAAGCATGAAAACATCTTGTGTATTCCAGTAATATAGTTAAAGCATCACTGCATGTAGCTTGCAAGCCATGGAGATGAAATTACGTGTCTGCAACATCGTGAGTTCTTAAAGCAGAGTGTATAAGTGGAGGAAGCATTTCAGCATACTGGGCGGTCAGCTAGCCCTTTAGAATTGTTGCAAATAATGTGGTAGAAGTTTATGCTGACCTTTCATATACATATGAAATATGTACATATAAATGTACACTCTAAAATATTTTAGCTGCTTTTTCTAAATACAATTTCCAAATTAGTTTATGTTCAAATATTAGTTAATTTAACTCATAAATTAATTCATTTGTCTGATTTGTTTTCAAGAGTAATGCTTTTCTCATCACAGGATACTGGTATCAGTGTCAGAAAAAGAGTCATAAAGATACTTAGGGATATCTGCATTGAACAACCAACGTTTCCCAAAATTACAGAGATGTGTGTGAAAATGATTCGGAGAGTCAATGATGAAGAAGGCATTAAGGTATAATAAATGCGTAATCCTCAAGATGAACATTGTTTTCTAAAGTTTGCTTTGTTTGTAAATGTTGTACCAAGTACTTGTAACTAGTTTGTTAATAGTTACTAACAAGTGAAATTTACATATAAAAATCCTTTCTGCAAAGAAAATAAGCTTTAGGACAAAATTAATTTAGGACAAAATTAATCAGAATATGCCAGATGTGGAAGTTCTACTTATAAATCATTTTGAGGTATTTGTGTGTTCTTCTCTTGCATTAATTCTGAGCGTGTAATGAATCACTTATTTGACCTGAAACGTTATTTATATGATCACATTCTACTCTTCCTGCATTGCATATGCTAAAGGGCAGCAAACTAGGATTAAATGATAAATCACAAACTTGACATTGATGTTTTTGTTTAACTCAGAAACGCAATTTTCAAAATAACTGGGTAATTAAGAATACACCTGTGGTAGTTTTGCATCAAACTTATAGAAGGATTAGAAATCATCAACTTTGCAGTCATGGCATGTATTTTTACCACTTGAGATTCATTAATGTCGAGTGGCATTCAGAATAGACTGTTAATCAAGATGTAGGATCCCAAAGTACTGGAGGCTGAATCCAAGATTCTGCAACATAAGGAGGATGACCTTATTCTCTCTCCTAGTTTTCAACTACCTCAGAAAAGCGTAGCTGTGTCTGTACAACATATTTTTATGCCTCTGTGGATCAGGAGAGATTTTACAACTGTATCAGCAATGCAATAATGATTTTATCTCTCTTCCATTCTATTCTATCTTTTCCACCATCAAAACCATTGGAAGAGAACCTGCTTCCTAAATTTGACTTGGGTTGTCTCTCTACACCACCTTATGCAACTGTTCTGAAAACTCCTAAGTAATCTTTCACTGTGCTAATTCTGTTGTAGAAATCATAATCTTGTATTCAGTTACTGTCCCAAAGAACGCGAACGAATGAAGAAAACTTGTAATCATATGTACAGAATGTTTCTGTAGCATTAATTCCCAGTGATCAGTTGGTACTTGTACTTGTTTAGAAGCCAGTGTAACTCCCAGGAGATAAGAATCTGTCTCAGACTCTACAATTGATTGTCTTACTTATTTTGAACAATTTCTTATGAAATTGAATGTGTCATGAGCAAACCTAATATGATAGAATAGTTACATACCAACATAGACTTAATGTTTTTTTTTCCTTTCAGAAATTAGTAAATGAGACATTCCAGAAGCTGTGGTTTACTCCAACTCCACACCATGACAAAGAAGCAATGACTAGAAAAATACTGAACATCACTGATGTGGTATGTTATACAAACAAAATTTGAATTAAATTGTATGCAAAACTTGATTATGTTTTTTGTATCTTAGAAACATTATCTGTAGTCTTTTACAAACAAAAAAAAATATGAAATTAACTTACTTGTCAGGTGGTTTTCATTTCATCTTAACTGAGTTCTCTTGATATTCTACTTCAGAGCACCTGCATGATGATGTTAATGCATAATGAGGGTTAAGGATCGGTTTGTTTATTAAAAAACTGTGTATGTATACATATTCATTTTTGATTTGTCAAGCTTTGATTTGTACAAGATGTTCTACAAAACCAAAATTTGCAGTGGCCAGTAAAATATTCTGAAACTGCTTAAATTATAAGAACTATTTTCAAATGCATAAAATTGCTTCTAATCTCCGAAGATACAGAAGCATTGCACTCAGTGTGTATGTGGTAGTTTCACCCTAATTGACAGCTGAAATCCACCACAGCTATTCTCACATTCCCCCACCTCAAAGGAAGAGGAGAAGAAAAATACAATGGAAGAGAGTTCAAGTGTCACGATAAGGAGAGAGAGATGGCTCAACACAGGCAAAAACAGATTCAGCATAGGGAGATGAGAGTAATTTATTGTTTGTTCCTAGCAGACCGGAGCAGTGAGGACTAAAAACATACTGAAAACATCTTCCCCCCCCCCCCTCCACTCTCATCTGCATCCTCCCCTGAAGGGAACAAGAGAACAGAGAATGGCAGCCCATAATTCTGCTTTTCTACCATTTCTCCATAGTCCTTCTGCCCCTGCAGATCCCTCCCGTGGGATGTCACCCTCCCTGAACTGATCTTCATGGACTTCCTGCCAGGTGGCAGCTCTATGAGCACTGTCCCAACACAGTTCTCTATAATGGGGCTCATCTTTCAGGACCTCGGTGCTCCAGCGCTGTTCCCCGCAGATGGCAGCTCCCCCAGCCCTCCTGCCCCACAGCAGGCTGCTCCCCATGGGCTGCAGCTCCTACCCTGGACTGCTCGTGTGGGGGCTCTCCATGGGCTGCAGCCTTCTTCAGGCCTCATCCACTGCTGCATCATGGTCTCTTCCATGGCTGCATGTGCAGATCTGCTGCTTGTGGTGCAGAGAAATTCAGCTCCGCACCTGGAGCACCTCCTTCCCTAATTTTATACTGACCTTAGCACCTTAGAAGGGCTGCTTCTATCTACATTTTCTCACTCCTTTCCCTCAGTTGCTGCTGCTGTGTATCATTTTTTGCCTTCAATACAAAAAAAGGTGCAACCAATATTATTGCTTCAGTTCTGGCTGTGGCAGATCCCTTTTGGAGCAACTGGAGCTGCCTGTGATCTGTTAGCAGAACTTCTGGGCTCTGCTTTTGGTAGCGTCCTCTATGGCCTTCTTACTACCAAAACCTCATCACATACACTTTATATAGTGTAGTAAAATATGTGTATGCTGTTATTGAAGTTCTTCAGATTCCTCTTTTAACTGGTTTATTTTCATTACTGCTTTCAGGTGGCAGCTTGTAGGGATACAGGGTATGACTGGTTTGAGCAGCTTCTTCAAAATGTGAGTATTGGATTTTTAAGGTATATGAGACTACTGTTATAAAAATATTAACATTTCTTTTGATACTAAAACACACTGGAAGGAGACTACAGGAACAATCCTTTAATGTAAATTCAGTTGCTGCTCTTGAAAAACAACCTTTTTTGTTTTGCTTTTTTGCTTTATTGCTACAGTTTTCTTTGTCTCTAATGCTAGTTTCTGTATTTCTGTATGATCTGTTTTAGAAATATTTTATATACTGATTTTCATTTTGGGAAGTTTTAGGGTTTTTTTGTTTTGTTTTGTTCTTTAAATTCGTGTTATCTTCAGTAATGACTAACATAATGTGAAGTCTACAGCAAGGAACTTAATTCTGAAATGAGTATCTGATGTGATGTGGATTCTTTTTCCAGTTGTATATAAGTGTATTTTCGTATCTAGCATATTTGTTACAAATGAGTATTAGCACTGAGTATTTAGAGTATTGCTTACTTCTACATTATATTTTACTCATTTTTGTGAGACATGAGCATGCTTTGTTTAGATCTGCTAGCCGTGGTATCTTTCTCATCTACTTTGCGTGTGCTTTGGTTAATTTTCAAGGTACAAAAGTATGATTAGAGGAACTAAAGGTCTCAGAATACTTTCCTTTAGTCTGGAGTGCCATGAAAATAGTTTGCCAAATAAACTGGCTGAAAGCTTGGACTGGAGAAAAGGCTATTGTAAAGGATCAAGCCTTGTTAAAGGATTTTAGGGGCATAATTTCAATATCCTCACTCATACAAAAGAAAGCTCAAACTGTTTCATCTTATTTTCATGTTTTTGCTTTATATCAAAAATGTCCCTTTTCTCTTTGCCCTTCTTTATCTTTTCTAAACATTTTTAACCTTCTATTAGTTACTGTTGGCAATATAAGTGGATAATTGTTTTCCTCACAGTTCATGAAGCTTAAACTTACCTTTTGTCCCAGTGCAAGCATCATTAGAATTACTCTCTTATGTCCTTTAGATGTAGGGTTGTGGGTTTTTTGGTTTTTTTTTTTTTGTTTTTTTTTTTACTTTTCTTGCATTTTGAATTGATTTCCTACTTCTTTTTAAGTTTTTCTTCATCACATAACTTCTATGGAACAGATAAAGAGATTGTTTAGTAATGCAAAATCCTTGATTACTTATAGTCCCAGGGTCCCTGGGCAGCCTGACCTGGTATTAGATCTGAAGCTTTGGTGCCATGCCTGTGGCAGAGGGGTTGGAGCTTGATGGTCCTTGAGGTTCCTTCCAGTCCAAGCCATTCTATGATTCTATGATAAAGCCAGTATGCATTCTATCTATTCTATCTATTCTATAGATGAATATACCCTCACTGTTCAATCATTTTTTGTTTCATTTGCTATAGCTGTTGAAGTCAGAAGAGGATGCCTCATATAAACCTGTGAAGAAGGCTTGTACTCAACTTGTTGACAATTTGGTTGAGCACATTCTTAAATATGAAGAGTCTTTATCAGGTAAGTCTATTTAGAATCCAGTATCTAAACTGCATTGAATTTTATATAAAACTGTAACAGTTATTGTTAAAATTACTTTACTGAAAAGTTACTTTTACAGAATTACTACTAAAAAATGAGCAGTAGTGAATTATTGCATATTGCATATATTTCATGTAAGCTCCTTAGGTACTTTTGAGCACTGTATAGTGATAAAGCTTCCCTAATTTTCTCTATACATCCAAAACAACAGAACTTCAAAAATATTTGTTAAAACTTTTAGATCACTAAAAGCAAAAAAAAATATTGTTTGCCTTAATATGTTCTACTGTTCTAATAGGAATCATTGGCTGAGACTGTACTGTACACAGTATTTTAAGTATTAAAATGTAATAATGTCCTATTATTTTACTTACTTTGTAATTATATATAAGTATTAACAAATTATGTTCTCATTTCCAATGCTCTTAGCTAAGTAGAATATATAAGGATATTCTGCATTGAAAGATGGAAAGATATGTCTTGAAAAATATATTACTATGATGTTTAGGTCATATGTTTCTAATTGATCAATTAATATATGGGTCTAATATCATATGTTTTCTCATTTTTGCAGATTCTGACAACAAAGGAGTGAATTCTGGTCGCTTGGTTGCTTGTATAACCACTCTGTTCTTATTCAGCAAAATCAGGCCCCAGTTAATGGTCAAACATGCCATGACCATGCAGCCATATCTGGCCACTAAATGTAGTGTAAGTAGAGAAAAATTGTATATCAGCCTTGCTTTTTTCCCCCAGATAATAAGCAAAGAATTTAATGGCTGTTTTAAATACTTGCTGGAATTGAAGATAGGAAAAGAGAAATAAAAGAGCATTTCTATTTCATGAGCTGAAGATTTTAGGTTCTTTTGATCGTCTCTGTAGCTTATAAGTTTTACAGTCAAGTGAAATGGAAACTTCTGCCTCTTTAAGGACTGAAACCCAGCTATTCACCTGTTATATAATAATTTCTTTAAATTATTGTCTCACAGTCAGAGTCTTTAGTTAAGATGTAATATATTAATATTGTGACTAAAGGTATGGTTCTGTGTGGCACGATGACTTAAGCTATATCTAATATAGCAGAAGGAGGCTGTCCTTATCTATCCTTTTCAATACTTAACCTCTCTATTCTCTACCACTCACCTATCCAGCCTTGTTTTTTTTGTGTTCCCTTATAAGACAATTTAGTTTAGAAAAATGTTAGAGAGATAAAATGCTAAACCACTTAGACCAGTAAAATTGTCCACCTGCTCTGAAAATCTGTGGAGCTTTCTGGCATTTTGGTATGCACAGTGGGCTCAGTGAATCATTGATTTGCCAGAAGAAGCAGGGCAGATCACGTTGCTGTGGTTAAAAGAAGAGAATGGCTGAGTGGCTGGCAGCACTGCAATTACATTAGGTTAGCAGCCTTTGAAAGGGCAAGTTTATTATCAGATGAGTTTATAGGTGTATCTTAGCATTTTTAGCTCTGGAGTATTCTGTAGGCACATCTACAGACTTTTAAAGCTGCTTCTGATTAAACAGATGATTAAAAAGAGATTATTTGCACATCTCCTTAGTGGATTTCATCAGTTTTTTACTTTTAGAAGTTGAGATTAATTGTAGAATATGTTAAATGGCTTGATACAGTGTATGGCAGTTATCATGATTAATATGCCTGACTTGTCAAAAAAGTCAAGTTTTGACAGGATATAGACTTAATGTATGCAGTGTTTTCCACAGATCTCTCAGTTACAATCCTCATGGTTATTCAAGCTATTAATCATTTTAATTGTAATTTTTGTATTTGAGGACATAGTGTGACTTCATTTGTTACCCATGTTGTATTCCCTGCGTATGTGTCAGGAAGTGTTCTGTAATCTTATTAGAGCTCTTAAAAAAAAAAGATAATTAGTTAAATACAATGCCATGACAAAAAATTGAAAAGTTTTTAAGCCTCTCTACAGCCCAAATGAAAAATAAAGTTATGCTACTACAGACTTGTTTTCCAGAGGTTCCATAAAAAACAGGAACTAGCTTTCAAAATAATAAGCAGATAGCAGATAGAAACTATTTAAATGGCCTTCTAAATGTTTACTAAGTGCCTCAGTCATATTTTACATATGTTGGAATTTTTGGCTGTCAGTGCATATTAATAAAACTTAGTTTATGATTAACAACCAGAAATGTTGTTAATTAACTCTGAATGCTGTTGTTTCAGACTCAGAATGATTTCATGGTGATCTGCAATGTTGCAAAAATCTTGGAGCTTGTAGTGCCACTAATGGAGCACCCAAGTGAGACCTTCCTAGCCACTATTGAGGAGGACCTCATGAAACTCATCATCAAATATGGCATGACAGTAAGCTTTAAATTGCTGATATTCAAATTTTGATTTAGTTTCACAGTTCTCATTTAAAGAAAGTCTGTCTTCATCATAAAGTTGCTTATACGTCAGACAAAAAAGAATTTATTGATTTGATGGAGATTTATGTATTGCTGATATACAAAGTCTGCTCCTTCTATTTTATTATGTTGGCTCACAATGTCAGAGCTGGGTGTTGGTGGAATGGCAGCCGAGATTGAAACCTTCTACCAATATTCCATTAGATTTTGTTGCCATGTGACAGATGCCAGCAGTGTGGCAGTCTGACAAAATCACATCTGACATGGAAGTATGTGTAAAGTGAAGATGAGTCATTGAATTCCTCTATGCAGAATAAATGGCAATCATTGACTTTCATCCATGCTTGCTGAATGTTTATGAAAACTAAACAGTGAGTGTGAGCACTGTGAGGCGGTGGAAGTTGCTTTTCTGTGGTGATGACAACAACGTGAAAGATAAGCCACATTCCATGTTGTCGAACCATGGCCACGTTGTCAAACCATGAAATGAAGAATCTCTTGATCAGCTCATCCACACAAATTGGCTAATGGTGGTGACTACATTGGAAAATAAATTTGTAGCTGAGAATTTGCTCTATCTTTGTGTCTGTTGTAGTTTCCATAAAAATAAATTAGGAGGCATTTCTTTCAGTTTGCATACACAGTTTAAATGATTATGAGTTTGGGTAGGTTTTCAAAGCAGTTTAGGAGACTGACTGTTGGAGTGTTTCTTTTCATTATACGTAATTCCATAAAAATTTCAAGTTTAAATTCTAATTACATGATTAATTTGTTATTTTTTGCTCCTAGGTTGTTCAACATTGTGTGAGCTGTCTTGGGTCCGTTGTGAACAAGGTCACCCAGAATTACAAGTTTGTGTGGGCCTGTTTTAATAGATACTATGGTAAGTAAAATCATAACATTATTTTCTCAGTTTTGGTTACAAGTCTTAGGGATGCACCATGTTTAAACACTGTAATTAAAACTTTTACTGTAGGTGCACTTTCAAAATTAAAAAGTCAACACCAAGAAGACCCCAACAGTACAATACTTACTGCCAATAAACCAGCACTCCTTAGATCACTTTTCACTGTTGGAGCACTGTGTCGGCATTTTGATTTTGACCATGAAGATTTTAAGGGCAACAGTAAGGTAAAAGTAACTCATATTTACTCTCCAAATCTTATGTATATTGAATGCTTTACTTTTATTTGAAAGCACGGCATTCCTTGCTGCTCAAAGCTATGTTTTTTTCATAATACATGCAGTAATATTTTTTGGTTTGTAAGTCCTGTAAAGGATGTGCATTAATACTGTGTATCTCCTTTACTTTTTGTATTTTATGTATCTCTTTGTAAGAGATTAAAAACATTTGTTTCATCTCCAAATAGCTGTTATTTTTTTGTTTTAATTTGCTCAGGTTAACATTAAGGATAAAGTACTTGAACTGCTGATGTATTTTACAAAGCATTCAGATGAAGAAGTACAGACAAAAGCCATTATTGGCCTGGGTAAGACATGCTAATAGTTTTTATTCTTCTGCAGGAGCACACATTTTTCTGTAGTAAAAAGGGAATTTATCAAACTTCACTGCCTGTTTATTTAACAAATTGCTAGGCAAATGTTTGGGATGGTAGCTGTATGTGTCTGCTGCAGGGTTTTGACAGAGAATACTTCTTGATGTGTGTCTAAGTTTTAAAAAGCAGTGGATTTCTAAAGTAGTAGAGATGTTACTTTTTTCCCCCACATGCAGATATGTTGTAGCTCCAATTCTAGTTTTTCAGTCCTCAAAATATGATTAAGGAATAACTAGAAAAAAGTGCTGGGAATGTCCTGAGCATTCTGAATATAGCTGGGTCTTCTGCAGGAGTCAGGGGAACTCTGGAACTTATACCAAGTGGGAGACGTTTTGTGAGATTTCACTGATAATGCTGTAGCATTATAGTATTTAAGTATTCCAGTGTAGATTTCTGCCCTAGGATTTTGTCTGTATTTCAGTTTTAAATAGGTGCTTTGTCTGAAGGCAGTTAGTATGGTGTATGTGACTTGCAGTAGTATTTAAACTGCCATTGACTGTTCTGTATCACATTCATCCTCTGCTTGATATACTATATACTTATGAGAGGACCTTGTTTGGGCAGTTTGGTTTCCAGAGCAGTTCTGTTCTCATGCACGTGAGCTTGCTGTAATTTAGCTGTGAGCTATAGTTTCACTATGGAAAAGAATTTGCCTCCTTATGCCGATGTTTTGGTCACTTTTTAGATGTCTCTAAGAACTAAGACTTATTCTTCTTGTGATATTCAGTGAAAAACTGCTAGGCAGGGCTAATGGCTTTGGAGTAGCTTCAGATGCAGGAGCAATGCTACTGTGTTCTGGACTAGCTTTTCAAAGTACTTCACTAAGGTGCACAACACTACCTGTATTTCAGTCTAATTTAATTGCTCTCCCCAGGATGCTGCACATAGGACAGAGGCTGCCAGGTAACTGTAGGTATGATTGCTTTACTCACAGATGCTGACAATATTGTATTAGCGAAAAATGTTGCTAAATTCGTCTGAACTGTGATCAGTTTGGGGGAAGGGGTAAAACAGAATAGGCTTTTTTTTTTACTCTCTGCCTGTAATCACCTTGTTCCTCATTTTTAATTAAACTTCAGACAACTGTTTTAAGTGGCACGTTGATCTAATCTGTGTTTGCATTCTATTTGAGGACTAGCTGTTGCAAATGTCCAGTTGTGGTATACAGGACAAAGTTTGATCTTACTGGCTGTTAATTGAACCGTTGTCAAGTCATCCAACATTTGTGCACAACAAGATTGGAAGGACTAGCAGGCAACTTTAATATTCATACACAGTTAAAGATTCACACAAAGAACTTGTACTTTCCTATCAGTAGTTGCTAGTGAGTCCTGTCAGTGAGGGCACTCAACAGGTTTAGTGTTTGCTTTGGTATGTATCACTCCTGTTGAGGAATTCAGCTTAACTGTAAGTCTTTTGAGGAGTAATTGTGGTTCTTTTCCCAGTGTACCTTCAGGTCAGGTTGAGGATTTAAAATTTAGATACTAAATATAGCTAAACCTCCAACTATCTAACAGGTAGAGTCTTAGTTGGCCATTCTTAACAGAATGAACACAGTAAGTGTTTTGTGTTTCATCTTCTATGAGAAATTATTATACCAAATAAGATTTCTTCCCCACTTACAGAACTTGGAATGTAAGCATCTCTTTGAGAATACTGGTGTTTTTAAACTCCTTTGAGTGACTGAAGTAAGGAATGGATTATGGGCTGTTACACAAACATATGCTCATGCTTTTGTTTTTGTTTTTATTTTAAATTAACCTGAAAAATGGATTGAACTTGCTCAGACATGATTAACTAATAAACTATTACTATAAGTTTTACAGAGTATACTATATACTTCAGAGACCATCATCACTATTTTTCTTCTTTTTTCCCTTTTTCCCCTCAACATCCTCTGTCTTCTGTACTCTCCTTGTTTTGAGATTGAAATGAGGTCAGTCACACTGAGGTTTTGCCCTAGATTTAGCCATTATCCATACTGTATATACAGAGCCATTTTTTTTTAATCTAGCTCAGTCTTCCCTTCATTACAGCCACTTTAATACATTGCATAATTTCTTATTATTTTTGCTGTCACTTTTTTCCCATTCAGTTTTTTACGTTGTCTCTTTGTTCATTGAAGGTATTAGCTTCCTGTAGTCAGTTAATGTCCACTTTTCTTTAACAGCCCTAAAAAAAAAAAAAAAAAAAAAAAGTAGTTAAACCTAGTTAAAATAGAAACATAGTGTTCCTATTACCGTTTTTTATGAAACAGAGAAGAGTTGTCAGCAGCACTTCTAAATTTACACACATAATCTATAACGGTACATACAGTTGCTAATTTACATTCAGGTTTTTATGAAATAAAGGCTTCTCGGACTAAGAGTAACCAATTCTTTCTGAAGGTAAAGCTGCATCTGAAAACACTTTTGTAGTGTGTATCTTCTGAAAGTTGTAGTTTTGAAAGCACTTACAGAGAGTTTTCAAGAGTCCTTACTAGATATACAACTGATGACAGTAGGAGGTATAAATTTTATTTTACTCTGTTCACTGTGTTATTTTCTTTTAAGATTTTATTTTTAAGTGCTTGTAATTTTTATCAGTTTTTCTGTAACTGGTTATTTCTAGTTACGTTCTTCACTTGTTCTCTAGAGAGCTTCTAATCATTTAGGCCACCACACTGGATGTGCTTCTGGATACATATAACTCTTCTTTCTGCAGCTGCCCTGGGTCAGCATCATGTATTTATCAAGTGTATTGCAAGTATGTTGCTGTAGTGCATAGAACTCCTTATAAGTTTTGGACTATGACCATGTGAAAAAGCAATTCTGTTTGGACTAGAAAAGCAATACTGTTGCAGTAATGGGAGAACATACATTTCATACCTTTGATTTGTAGCAAGACTTAAAAAATAGTAATACAATTTCTATATTATCTAATATAATAATGTGGAATATGTCCTATTTTTCCACCCTTAGGATTTGCGTTTATACAACACCCAAGCTTAATGTTTGAACAGGAAGTAAAGACTCTGTACAACAGCATTCTTTCAGATAAGAACTGTTCAGTAAACCTAAAAATCCAGGTGTTAAAAAACCTCCAGACCTACTTGCAGGAGGAGGACACACGTATGCAGCAGGCAGACAGAGACTGTAAGTGTTGAGTTCTTCTGTGATAATTACTTCATCTGTGTACAATCTAACTTTCTTGCATACAATCACTGTATATGTTAACTGAATCACTTGAAATTGTTATTTGTCAGTAATATTGTCCATGAAGTATTCTAGAGGTATTTTCAGAATTCATTATGTGCCATAGGTAAATTGGGAAGTGTAGCTTATTATTAACTTTCAAGATGTATAAATCCTGGAAGCAATCCAAAATATGTAATTGCTATAGTGATGATAGTAATACTTTCCATCAAAATCTTATGTGAAGTTATCTGTAAATACAAAATGAGAAATAATAAGGAATTTTTAAAATGAAAAGCATTTACTGAGGAACAAGGATGTAATTAAGGTCACATCTCTAGTTATCTATCTTGAAGAATATTCACCATCCAATTGTTGTGTTATTCATGGAATCTTAAAATGCATTCTAAGACAGCTGAAATGTTTGTGTACATAGGAAAACTTAATTATCAATTACAGGTTAATTAATGGCAAAGTAAGTTGTTATACTGTGGTGAGTGTGCTGTTTATTTTATCCTTTCTACAGGGAAAAAAGTAGCAAAACAGGAAGACCTGAAAGAAATGGGTGATATTTCCTCAGGGATGAGTAGTTCCATCATGCAGCTGTATCTCAAACAGGTCCTTGAGGCTTTCTTTCATACCCAGTCCAATGTACGCCACTTTGCTCTAAATGTCATTGCACTGACGTTAAACCAGGGTCTCATCCATCCTGTTCAGGTATGGTAGGCTTCTCTGATAGGGAAGATGTTGTTGTTGTTACAGATTTTTACACTTGCTAGGTGAATTTCCAGTGTTCCTTTTCTAGCTGTGTTACAGTGATTTCTTATTACAGCAAAGGCACTTTATAGAAAATGTACTCTAAATATGTGTTAGCTGGTTAACCAGCAAGATTCCAAATGTTTTTTTCTTGCCTTTGGATCAAGATGTCTAGCAAGTGACTAAAGAGCATGTACAAACTGACACAGGATCATGTTACTTTTCTATTATAAATTTCAGATGCATGCCAAGTCTTTTTCTTCTTTTTACTTTTCCACTGAAAACTGTGTCAGCTTGCCTCTACATCAGTATCCATATCCTCCAGCGTCCAAACTGTCTTCAGTTGTAATCATTATTCGTACATAATGTTTTTATTTATATTATTTTTATTTACATTGTTTTTAATGCTGCAGCCATCATGTGTATTCAGTCAGAAGCAGTATGAGTTTTTTTAAACAGCATTTTTTAGAGCTTGAGAAAAATAGGAACACAACCTGAAACCTTGCACAACTTATACCATCACTTTTAATGCTGGTCTTTCTTGTATATTGTACTCTGCTTGCAAAAAGTAGTCTGGAGGTTAAGTTGCAGAGAGCTTCCTATTCTAGTTTCTACGGTAGTCAGAACACACGAACAGTATAATGGAAGAACAAAGAGTGGGAAAGAGGTAGTATAATGACCAAATAATCATTTCATTTGTTTTTCAAGTGTGTGCCATACTTAATTGCTATGGGCACAGATCCAGAGCCCTCTATGCGAAACAAAGCTGACCAGCAGTTGGTGGAAATAGACAAAAAGTATGCTGGTTTCATTCACGTAAGTAATTCTAATGTAAAGTTTTATACCATACTGTTTGTTGATGGTTTAGCTTGAACATGCCACAGCTGCAGAAGAAGAATATAAACTAACAATCAACATACACAATTGTAAAGAAGATCCCAACTCTTTCTCCTGCTTGAAGATTTCCTAAAAACAGGAAATATGTAATAGAATATAACCATAGGAAGCATCAGTTTCAATTTAAAATTTACTTTAGTTTCTAGTTCACAATATTTTATGCACTGGATAGTACATAAGAGTATTTATTTTATAAAAGGTAAGGTTAGCTGTTTCATGATGTTTAGCAGTAAATTACCTGTATCTGTATACTAAGGATCAGAAGACCTTGCTCGAAGAAGAGGTCCTTAGAGTAGTTTGTGTTTGAATTTTTAGAGCATTGAGACTTTATTGACATGTAATCTGATCATAGGCAGCATAGGAAGGTAAAAATTGGGAGATCTTGCTAAAGGAAAATCTGAGGGCTGAGTCTGCAGACTTGTAGACTTGTGGCATAGTGTCATTAGTTCTGGTTGAGATGTGAAGCAGAGTTGCAGAACTCTTACCTCATTACAAAAGATTCCATTCTTGGTTCAACATGTGTACTGCTTTATGGAAGTTCCAAAATCTGCCTGTATTTCTACGGAGATTGAAACACTGTAATGTTCATGGTTTCCTAACATATACTTAATACAGTAGGTGAAGGCCAACTATGATGTTTGCTTTGTAGGGAGTTCTGGTATAAAACACTGTAGACATGAGGAGATAATTGTGTTGAAGTGAAGAAAAGGGATTATGAGGAGAGTTGTATCTGCAGCCTACCTAAAGATTCAGTTTGTTCTGAAAATACAGTAGTAGCCTTGAAGTAAGCAAAATCAGCTAGAAATTCTATTATATGTGCAAAAAAATATCTCATTTTCTCATGGTTAATTTCCACCAATATGGGCTCAGTATTGGTTTCACTACAGTTTACATAAGCATACATATTTGGTAAATTATTCTACAGATGTATGAACATTTATCTATTCTTGAAAGCAGCTTAAACTGAAATACCGTGCTGTGGTTGGTAAGCACATTAGCTGTAAATGTCTTACATAGGTAAGTGGTGAAAGCATTTCGCAAGACATTTTGATCTCCACCACAAACTGTGTTATAACATGTTTAGCAGCTCAAGAGCAAGTCAAGAGCAGATCAAGAGCTCAAGAGTATCATTACATAGAATGTCTGAAAGCTAAAATTCAGATGAGCAGCTGCTTAAAAGGAAATAAGCTATTTCTTTATATAGATGCTAGTGGTTTCTTTTCACAGACATTTGTTTAAAACTTCCCCTGGCAAGATTTATATTATTTCATGTTTCAGTTTTACTCCTTGAAAGCAATTTAAATAAAATAAATACTTTCTCATTTCAGATGAAAGCAGTGGCTGGTATGAAGATGTCTTACCAGGTACAGCAGGCAATCAATACCTGTCCAAAGGATCCCGTAAGAGGCTTTAGACACGATGAATCATCCAGTGCATTGTGTTCACACCTATACTCTATGATCCGAGGGAACCGTCAACACAGACGAGCATTTCTAATTTCTTTACTCAATCTCTTTGATGATACTGCAGTAAGCATCGTCTTTCCTTCCAAAAAGAAATTTGATATAGCATTACAAGATTAAATTCTCCTTCCACAATGTATTTCTATGACATAATTATTGATAATTTACTTCCCTAGTATGTTTTGTTTTATTCTGTAATATGAGGCATTCACCTTTGTAACAGAATATGCTTCTTAATTTTGCATCCTTCTGTATCTTTCTATATCCCAATCTGGATTGTTCAGAAATAATGTTCATCTTAACATATGTTCTTTAAAGTGGAATGGGAAGTATCTAGAATAAAATCTGTGATCATTATTTTTGCTCTAGGTTGTTAGGAGCACTGTGCAAGTGTTTGAGTCTAATGTATTTGTGTGTGTATTTATATGTACACTTATATTTGTTAATTTATTTTCCAGAAAACAGAGGTGAATATGCTCTTGTACATAGCAGACAATCTAGCCTGTTTTCCTTATCAAACACAGGAAGAGCCACTGTTTATAATGCATCATATAGACATTACACTATCAGTTTCTGGTAGCAACCTACTACAGTCATTTAAAGAGGTATGTGCCTTTAAATTTAATATATTTATCACAGTGGCAACATAAGCTTTTCTATAATTTCACCAGTTTTTTAGTGAGTGAGTATGATTATGATGATACAGGCAAGCAGCATTACTTTATAATCATTAGTTGAACAATAAACAACCCCTTTCTGCTCTGGCCTGGATTTGGAAGATGCTAATTAAAAACTTTCCTTACAATGCTGCTTATGTTATTAAAAAAGAATGATGATTTTTGAGACACTAATATGAAATACCTGTAATTCTGCAGTATTTCTGAGAAATAAGAAGTTATGTCAAACACTATAAAATGCTGATTTATTGTGGTTGTTCTAATAATAACCAGGTTTGCTGTTTAATTTGCTTTGTTGTCAAGTAACTGATGTTATTTTTATGTGTTTCACCTGAGAAACTTAAACTACACTGTTTACTACAAGAAGTAATACATAGAATGTAGTTGCATGAATTTAGTTGCATAAGGTGGCATACAAAAACTCTGGTCGTGGCACCTGTTGTAACTGAATACACAACACTATAGGCAATAGACCTGTTTCTCAAATACTTAAGAACCTTATTTTCCTGGGCAGCTCTAAAGCTGTTCGGTCCAAGCTGTTAGGAAGCAAGCCCATTTCAAGAATTTCCAATCTGACCATTAAGTCAGCTGAAGCCTGGAAACTATGCTGTTTGGGGTACAACCCTACAGAAGTTGCTTTTTAATCTGTGACAATCTGGAGTACATTCTTCAGATGGAGCACCAGTGTGTAGCACCACTGTAGCACAGTGAGGATACCCATGGGGACATCAAGTTATGTGTTATGAAAAGTCAGAGTAGGTGTGTAGTAATAATGCAAGTGTGAAACTGTAGCTTTACAAGTAGCAGAACTGATTTCTAGTAGCACTGTATATTATTGCTTGAGGTTTCTTTGATCAACAATGTAATTAATATGATAGAATTTTTAACAGAAGCAAGAATTAAAAGAAGCTGAGACTTCTCTGTACCTACACATGAAAGTATATGTAACGTACAAAAATCCAGGTGTCAGAAAAAAAACTTGCCTTATATTTGTTTTGTTGTATTCTGCCTTCTAATACATTTTTCCGGCACTATTAACACTACGTTTTAAAACTGCCGTGAAGTCTTTGTTGCTTCATTTGCTTCTATTGTTTCCACCTTGCAAAAAATAAGCTTTTCTGAGGGGGAGTCCAAGGGACACTTGAGTATCTTTTCATCATAAGTAATTTTAATCTTTGAATTTATGAATTAATAACGTTGTTCAGGGAATTCATGCTGATCTCAGCCAATGATGATTTTGGAAATAATTTTTAGAAATGTGCTACTTTATGGATTGTGTATTAATTCTCTGTTTCACAGTCTATGGTGAAAGACAAAAAAAAGGAAAGAAAGCCTTCATCAGACGAGGAGACTGAGAGTGACAGTAATAGTGGCAGTGAGAGCGAAAGTGAAGAGGAAGCTTCTAAACCTCGGAGGTTACGAAAACGAGTAGATTCTGATTCAGATTCTGATGAAGAAAATGATATAAATGCTGTGATGAAATGTTTACCAGAAAACTCAGCTCCTTTAATCGAATTTGCAAATGTTTCTCAAGGCATATTATTACTTTTGATGCTGAAACAGCATTTGAAGAACCTTTGTGGATTCTCTGATAGGTAAGGATACTTAGATAGTCTAGTGATTTTTTGGTAAGGATTAAATCTGGACATTTTTTTAAAAAATTCATTGTAACTCAGTGTAATCAACAGGTTTGTATAAGGGAAAAAGTGTAAGAGTAATAAGTCAATGTAATGAAACAGAAATGTTAGCTTAGAAAAAGCAGTGACTTCATTTCTTATCAGGATGTCTGTTATATATGAAATGATGCAAATATATCTGCATAAGCTGAAGATTTAAAAGCTTTTCTTTGAAATTTTTTGGAACGTCCGCAAAAGCTTTTCTCTTATTTTCATTAAACAGTAAAATTCAGAAATATTCTCCATCTGAGTCTGCAAAAGTTTATGATAAAGCGATAAACAGGAAGACAGGAGTGCATTTTCATCCAAAACAAACTCTGGATTTTCTGCGGAGTGATATGGCTAATTCCAAGATCACTGAAGAAGTGAAGAGGAGTATAGTAAAACAGTACTTAGATGTAAGTAAAGTTGCCCAGCAGGATATCTAAAACTCTTCTAAACTAGCTAACACAATACAAGCCTGAAAGAAGATGCTCTTGGATTGGATGAACATTTCAAATTTCAAAATGTTATGTTCCTGGTAATGTTATGCAATATTATGATAACGCAACTTCCTTTCAGGACGCTTAGCTGTATTACTTTTCAAAGTCTCCTAATAAATTTAAACACAACAAACAATAATTTTAACTGAGCAATATTCATCTTTACAAAGTATTTTCTAATTTCTGATATCCTTTCATTTGTAATTTGTTCTTTTTGACCCTGATGGCTTCCATCAGAGTGAAATAGAATAGATCCAGTACATTTATCTTTTCTTTTTCTTCTTGGCAGTTCTTTAAAATATTAACTAGAGAAAACTTGGAAATTATGGAAACATGGGACGAAAGCTTTAGATATCCAATAGGAAATGAGAGGACAGAAAGAAGTATGTAGAGGAGACCACAGGAGCTGTTCAAGTTTGAAGCTGCCTTTTGTTTTACTGCATATTTCCATTTGGTTTTATTTAATGTGGCATCTTATTAATATATATTTTAAAAATTACAGTGTAGACTAACCTGTGTGGTCTCTTTTAGTTCAAGCTCCTTATGGAACATTTGGATCCTGATGAAGAAGAAGAAGATGGAGAGGTGTCAGCTAGCACAAATGCTCGGAACAAAGCAATTACCTCGCTGCTTGGAGGAGGCAGCCCTAAAAACAGTGCAGCTGAGACAGAGGATGATGAAAGTGATGGGGAGGATAGAGGAGGAGGCACTTCAGGGGTGAGGCGGAGGAGGAGTCAACGTATTTCGCAGCGTATTACGTAAAATGATTTTTATGTGCTTATAAATGTCAGTCTACTATATTAAAATGTACACCAAGTAATGTAATCCACATGGACGCATTTTGTAGATAGAGATTCTCTACTTAACCATTTATACAACTTTTTGTAGAAAGTTTAACAGAAAAGACAATAAAAAAAATCCTAGAAAATGAGATTTATCCAGTATAAAGTTATCAATTTTCCTTTGAAGTGTAATGTGCTATCCTTTCTATTGTTGCCAAGTTTTTATGTAGCTTTTTGATTCATATGTATATATAATTTTATATTATCAATAAGAGATAAAGACACGGGTACAAATTAAGAGTATGTGGTTTTACAAGGATATGTTAACCCCTTGGCGCTGGCGGTCGCGGTGCGTCTCATTGCCGGCAATGGAATGTGTGCCGGGAAATCCCAACTCCCGGCGTCAAGGGATTAAAAGCAATAAAAGCAATAATTTCACTAAAGTTCTTTTGTGTAACACATGGTCTTTTTTCCCCCCAATGTTTTAGTCATTGAGAAGGTCAAAACGAAATTCAGACTCTACGGAGTTGGCTTCACAGATGAATGAAAGTGTTGATGTCATGGATGTCATCGCTATTTGCTGTCCAAAGTACAAAGATCGACCACAAATTGCACGAGTAGTACAGAAAACCAGCAATGGCTTCAGTGTTCAGTGGATGGCAGGCTCCTACAGTGGCTCCTGGACTGAGGCTAAGCGCCGTGATGGCCGCAAACTGGTGCCTTGGGTAGACACTATTAAAGAGTCAGACATTATTTACAAAAAAATTGCTCTAACTAGTGCTAATAAACTGACTAATAAAGTTGTTCAGACTTTACGATCGCTGTATGCTGCCAAGGATGGAACTTCCAGCTAATGAATTTGTACATGCAGCCAAATTTACAGGAATTGAAATAACACAAAAACATGAAATATCTACTTTCTGGCAAAAAATAAAAATGATGATGTTAAAAAAAACAATTAAATGAGGAGTAAGAACAGAACCTGGGACACAGGGGAAAAAAACAAGAAGGAAATGTTTGGTAAATGTTTTTGTGGGAGCTTCCTTCGCTGTTGTGCAGCAGAAACTTCTCAATTCATTTTTACTCCCACTGTATTATAGTTTAAAACATTTGTTTATATCTTGGAAAAAAAACACCTTTCTGTTTAAAAAAAAAAAAAATAAATAAATAAACAAGTGAATGTTGGAAATTAGTCTGTTAATGTTCTTAATAAAGTGTTCTTGGAGCTTAACCTAGCAGCGGATGGCTTTCTTTAGATTAGCCCAGTTTCTGTAAAATGGCAGGATCTCCTGGATATATAATTTATTCTGTTGAAGAAAAAAAAAAGGGGGGGAAGCATGCAGTATCTATGACCTACCTGCAGGAGTACAGAAGGAGTTTTTGTAAATGTAGATTTTTATGTTATTAGGTCACGCTGAAAATAATACAGGAAAATGAATCCCCAGGAAATCTGGTGGAACAAATACTGCAATAAATTTTTTTACTTCTCTTTGTTATTTGTCTGTTTCCATTTGAATTTCTTATTGTAAAGATCTGCAAGATATATTATACATGGATTGAAACAATCTTTTAGGTAAAATTTACTATATCAGTGGTTTTTAAAACAAGGCAGAAGATATTGTTTATACAGTTTGTATAGGCTGGCTTCTGAATAATTGGCAGATGTTAGTTTTTATCCCTTTTAAAGGGTATAAACAACTCCAGGATTTTATTGTATCTTTCAATATTTAGTATTAATTAAAACATTTAACACTGTGCCAAACACATTTTCAAGAGTACATTTTAACATAAAAAAACAGTAGTTTATACCTTGTAAGCTTCAATTTCTTTTAATGGTATCTAAATGGTAATATAAGATAATTTAGATTTTGGGAAAGCTGAAAGAATGTTCTGCTTGGGCTAACTGCCTATGTATGCATTTCTCTGGGTTAATATATAGAGTTTTGTGTGAAAAGGAGATTGCTACCAGTATCTGAGGAGTTAATGGGTATGCAGTTGTGTAATTTATGCTACATTCCTTCACAAATTAATTTTAAATTTTTGTACATTAGTCTTTTTAACTAATTGAAAGATCTTTTAATTTTATAAGTTGAAAAACAAAAGCAGGTGAAAGCATTCAGAAGCTTCAATTATATTACCACAAATCTTTCGTAAGTGTTTGACATTCTAGATAGCAACAAAACTAGCAGATTTACAAACGAAAAATTTAAAGCAGTTAATGTCTTAGGGGAATACTAAATCCTGCTCTGTCTTGAAATGTATTTATCTAAAATGAGTTTCTCAGTAAGTAAATCTTTATTTTCAAATTGAATTTATGGTAGGGCATGTTTTTTGTGAATCGAGCTTGCACTGTTACTCAATTGTGAAGAAAATGTCTTTAAATGGGTCAAGGGGGAGAATATTAGTCCCCTAGGTAAGACTACCCCTGTACATAATTCAGAATTTCTGGAATCACCCTACCACAAACTTGGGCTTATAATTGAAAAATGGGGGCCCCTGTGGGTTACCGGAAATATTTCCTCCCTATTCCACATGGTGGATTATTTTCATGGATTAGATAAAATTATTTTAATTACAAAAGAGTGCCAGCTAGTCACATCTACTGTGGCATGGCCATTATTAAATGCTTTAAATCAGGCAGAAATATGAAACACTACCTCAGAAAATGAAAATCAACTACTATGAGAATGTACTGAAAAATTAGGACAACAATTTGGCACATTAACAGGAAAGAAATCAAGCCTAACCTTTCCAATAAAACAGGTCTGCAATGTTACATTAGAAGATACCCAGGGTCCTAAAACAATGGACCTGGATGATTCAGAAAACAAAGCTTTCAGGTCATATCTCAAAGCTCCATCTGAGATGGATCCCTTTGAGATCCACCCTATAATAACTTAGAAAGCAAAAAAAGTACAAGATAGACCAGCAGGGGTGCCCCTTGACCAATGCCCCTCTGCCCAAACTCATTTGCATGTAACAGCTTGTCCCTATACAGCAACTGAATTAATGGATTTAGTTCAACGATTTCAAAAGAAGCCTAGAGAAAACATACCAGCCTGGCTTTTAAGGTTATGGGACTCAGGGGCAGAAAGCATCATGGTTAACAGACCAGAAATTTAAAGTTGGCATCCATTACTTTGCACCCTGCCCTTAGACAAAGATTATATGCTAACATTCAACACCAGGGTGAGAACCATTCATTAGTAGATTGGTTGATGGCAGCATGCCGTGTGACTTGGCCTAATAAGACTGACAATACCATTGTGTACACAGGTTTATAGTTCTCCATGGAGGACCTTCATACCTATATTCGTAAACTAGTCATGAGAGAAACAATTATGAGGAAATGTTTGAGACCCTGGACTTAGCAAAGTTTTCAGCAGGCATGTAAGACCTGAATTTACAACAGGCTCCTTCCCACCTTTATGGAACCTTAGTTTCCATACTGAACCCCCAGTGACCTTGGAGGCTATTGTCCAACAGACTGCCCAGTTGGTAGTTGATTTGGGGGAAACAGAGCACCTAAAAACAAGGCATAATGTTCAGGTGGTAGAAGGAGCTGAGGTTCTCCCAATTATTAAGGCCTGAAAGGCTGCCCCACAGTCACCCCAATCAGGCCCCATATGGGTAGCCCAGAAACAAATGGGCTGGGGTGGCCTTTGCCAAGATTGATTGACAGCCTAATCATATTTTACTTCAATTGTGGTAACAGCTATGAAATGATCAGAAATTTCAAAATACTCCCAAAACAATGGGAGTAAAAATAATTCAGCAAGTACAAACAAGAACTTGGAACTTGAAAGACTTAATAGTTCCTAACTGTAGAATAAAGTCTCCTCAGGTGACTTGAGCTATGGTGCCCAAGCCACCTGAACAAGACCTGGCTATAGCACAGTTTATGGCATGACAAGGGATGTTAGTTCCCCTTTAACTAGGGCCTTCAGACAGGACTGGAGACCCTATGTCAAATTAACAATTTTTTGGTCCTGGAAAAATGTATAAGTTATAGTATTGGTGGATAACATTGACAGTTTACAGGCTGGTTCGGCGCAGTTCCATGATTATCAAGGTGGAGAGATCCACAGATCTGCACCTCCAGAAACAGGGGACCCCAAAATAATTTTAAAAAGCAGCAACAACCTGAGGAGAAACAAACTAATTTACTTAATACAGTATCAGAATGCAAGACAACACACTATAATACAATATAATACAGTAAAATCAGAATTGAAGTTAATAAATCAAATATAATGAGAGAGAGTGTCTGAAAGGTGGAAAGGCCTCACCATAACGCTGAGGTGAGACGTGCAGTCAGGTCGAGCAGCAGGGAGGAGAGCTGAAAAAGGGATATCAGGTGAACTTGCCAGGGGTTAAACCTCCTCTCTGAATGCAAAGCCCCCTGGGGTATGTAGTTCTTCTTCTCTTCCGGACAGGTGCCTGGAACTGGAGCATTAACTCTCTAACTCCCAGTGCACTACATGATGTTATGATGTGGAATACCGATCATACCAAAAATCATAAAACCAGGCATGGAAACTTCAATTGTCTACAGTGATCTGACTAAATTTCAAGGAGAAAGAGGAATGATTGCTGGTTTTGGGGGACAGACTATTCCTGTCACCCAAATGTGGTTGAAATTGGGGGTTGGGCATCTCCCACTCTGGGAGTATAAAGTGTCTATTGCTCCAGTCCCAGAGTACATCTTGGGCATAGACATTTTATAGGGTCTGGCTCTCCAGACAACTGTGGGATTATAACCAAGGAACCTAGTGATGGTATCCTAAATATCTGTACAGATAGTTGGGCAGTGTACCAGGGGCTCACTCTTTGGATTGCACAGTAGGACACCCATGAATGGACTATCCACACCTGAGCAATCTGGGGCAAAGACATGTGGTTAGACATATGGAATACCATCAAACACAGGACTGTACATGTCTACCATGTTTCTGGTCATCAGCCCCTACAGTCACCGGAAAATGATGAAGCCGACACGCTGGCCCTAGTTTGATAGATTGAGAATTCACCATCTGAGAACATCGCCCATTGGTTACATCAGAATCTAGTTAGTGAGTGTTTATATGGGAAATTCCTGTTTGCTGTTTCACCACTGGAATTTTACTGAAAAGAATGATTTTCCCACCTTTTTGTCATTCTCTGTTGTTGTTATTTTCTTCACTGTACAAAAGATACATAACAGGCTAAGATAGATAATGATAAAATAAATAGAAGTAGCTGGGGCTGTTCAGCTTGGAGAAAAGAAGGCTCTGGGGAGACCTGAGAGAAGCCTTGCAGTATCTAAAGGGGAGCTACAGGAAAGTAGGGGACAGGCTCTTTAGCATGATCTGTGGTGATAGAACAAGGGGAAATGGTTTCAAGCTTAAAGAGGGAGAGACTTAGGCTGGATATAAGGAAAAAGTCTTTTACAGTGAGGGTGGTGAGGCACTGGGACAGGTTGCCCAGAGATATGGTGGATGCCCCGTCCCTGGACACTTTCAAGATGAGGCTGATCAAGCCCTGGGCAACTTGACCTAGCTGTGCATGTCCCTGTTCATTGCAAGAAAGTTGGACTAGATGACGTTTATAGGTCCCTTCCAACTCAGGACTCTATGATTCTATTATATGAAATACAATATTTAATCATTTGCTGAATGGATGACTTCTTTTTCACAGAATCATAGAGAGCCCCAGCACTCTCAGCCTATCCTTGTAGGGAGGTGTTTCATCCCTTGGACTGTTTTTGTGGCCCTCCTCTGGATGCACTCCAACAGGTCCATATCTCTCCTGTACTGAGGACTCCACATCTAGACGCAGTACTCCAGGTGAGGCCTCACCAGCGCAGAGTAGAGGGGCAGGATCACCTTCCTTGACCTGCTTGTCACTCATCTTTTGATGCAGCCCAGGATACAGGTGGCTTTCTGGGCTGTGAGGGCACATTGCTGACTTGTCCTTCTTGCTAACCACTAGTACCCCCAGATGCCTTTTGTCAGGGCTGCTCTCAATCCTTTCATTCCCCAGGTTGTATTGGTAATGGGGATTGCCGTGACCCAGGTGCAAGACCTTGCACTTGGTTTTGTAAAATTTCATGGGGTTTGCCTGGGC